CCCCGAACTGATCTTTGGTCATCTCCTCACCTCCTCCAACTACGACGACACGCAGCAGAAGGTGACCGGTGGTCGTAACGGTTTCGGTGCCAAGCTCTGTAACGTTTTCTCCACTGAGTTTTCCATCGAAACTCAGGACTCGTCTCAGAAGAAGAAGTACAGGCAGACATGGACGGACAACATGACCAAGATTGGCAAGGCAAAGATCACTGAGGCCAAGGGAGAAGACTACACCAAGGTCACGTTCAAGCCAGACTACGCCAAGTTTAGCATGGACGGCATGGATGACGACTTCGAGGCTCTCGTCAAGCGTCGTGTGTATGACCTGGCAGGAACCGCAAAGGTGAATGTCAAGTTGAACGGCACTCGCATCCCTATCCGTGGTTTCAAGAAGTACATGGAGATGTACACCAAGGCTATCCGTAAGGAACGTGGAGATACTGGTCCCGCCCCGAAGGACGAGATCATCACCTGCAGCCCAGACCCTCGCTGGGAAGTCGGTTTCGCCGTTTCCGATGGCGCTTTCCAGCAGGTATCCTTCGTGAACTCCATTGCAACCACCTCTGGAGGTACCCACGTCAACTACATTGCCGACCAGATCTGTAACAGATTGGCCGAGCAAGTGAAAAAGAAGAACAAAAACGGAGCCACTTTGAAAACAGCCCAGATCCGAAACCACATTTTCATCTTCGTCAATGCACTGATTGTCAACCCGGCATTCACCTCCCAGACCAAGGAACAATTGACGACCAAGGCTTCTCAGTTTGGTAGTAAATGTGTGCTTGATGAAGACTTCTACAAGAAGATTCTCAAGACAGCGGTCATGGAAAACATCTTGCATTTCGCCCAGCAGAAGGCCGATCAGATGCTTAAAAAGACGGACGGTGGCCGGCGCTCCCGCATGAACAACCCCAAGTTGACGGATGCCAACAAGGCTGGCACCAAGGACGGCCATCACTGCACCCTGATCCTGACAGAAGGTGACTCGGCCAAGGGTCTGGCCATGGCTGGTCGAGCGGTTGTTGGTCCGGATCTTTTTGGTGTTTTCCCGCTTCGAGGAAAATTGCTCAACGTCCGTGATGCTTCTTTCGACCAGATCTCGAAGAACCAGGAAATCCAGAATATCAAGAACTTCTTGGGTCTGCAGCATAAGAAGGAGTATACTGACACCCGCGGCCTTCGGTACGGTCATTTGATGATCATGACTGATCAGGATCATGACGGTAGTCACATCAAGGGCCTGCTCATCAACTTCCTGCAGGCCCAGTTTCCTAGTTTGCTGAAGATTCCCGAGTTCTTGATTGAATTCATCACTCCCATTGTCAAGGTGTGGAAGGGTGATCCCAAGAATCCTACCAAGCAGCGTTCTTTCTTCACTATGCCCGAGTACGAGGCATGGGCGGAGGAGCACAAACATGAGCGTGGCTGGGATCACAAGTACTACAAGGGTTTGGGTACCAGTACTACTGAAGATGCCCAGGTCTACTTCCGCGACTTGGACCGTCACTTGAAGGAGTTCCACACCATGCAGGATAACGAGGCGGAGTTGATCGAGCTGGCTTTCTCGAAGAAGAAGGCTGATGAGCGTAAGGAGTGGCTGCGGCAGTTCAAGCCCGGAACCTTCTTGGATCATTCCGTTGAGAAGATTTCCTACACCGACTTTATTAACAAGGAGCTTATCCTGTTCAGTATGGCGGACAATGTTCGTTCGATTCCCTCTGTTGTTGACGGTCTGAAACCTGGTCAGCGTAAGGTTCTGTACACCTGTTTCCGTCGCAATTTGAAAAAGGATATGAAGGTCGTCGAGTTGGCTGGTCACGTCTCGGGTATGACCGCGTACCAGCACGGTGATGTTTCCTTGCAGCAAACCATTGTTGGCCTGGCACAGACCTTTGTTGGATCTAACAACATCAACTGCCTGGAACCTAGCGGTAACTTTGGTAGTCGTCTTCAGGGTGGTTCCGACTGCGCTAGTGCACGTTATATTTACACGCGGCTGTCCCCGTTCGCGCGCCGCGTCTTCCATGCGTCGGATGAGCCTCTGCTGACCTACAACATTGACGATGGCAAGACTATCGAGCCTGAGATTTACATGCCGGTGGTTCCCATGATTTTGATCAACGGTGCGGACGGTATTGGTACCGGTTGGAGTTCCTCTATTCCCAACTACAACCCGGAGGACGTTGTCGACAATCTGAAGCGGCTGATGGATGGCGAAGAGATCAAGCCTATGCAGCCCTGGTTCCGTGGATTCACCGGTGAAGTCACTTCTATTGGCGGTGATCGCTACAAGTTCAGCGGTATCATCAAGGAGACTGGAGAGAAGGAAGTGGAGATCACCGAATTGCCCATCCGAACTTGGACTCAGGATTTCAAGGATAAGCTTGAAGATATCATCAAGGCGGAAAAGACACCGTCGTTCATCAAGGACTACAAGGATTACAACACGCACACCAAGGTTCACTTTGTGATCCAGATGGATGAGAAGCATCTGAAGTCTGCCGTCGAAGAAGGCTTGGAGGACAAGTTCAAGCTGACCAAGACCATCGCCACCACGAACTTGGTCGCTTTTGACCCCGAGGGTCGGATCACCAAGTATGCGACCGTGGACGACATCCTGAAGGAGTTCTTCGCAGTCCGTCTGAAGTTCTACGAGCGCCGCAAGGTAGGCATTCCCATACTACTCTCGATGCTACTGTAAAGTCTACTAACACCGAAGTTTAGCAATATCAACTCAACGAAATGCAAAAGGAGCTGGAGAAGCTCAGCAACCAGGCGCGCTTTGTGCAGATGATCATCGATGGCGAGCTGGTCGTTTCGAAGAAGAAGAAGAACGTGCTCGTCGTGGAGCTGAAGGAGAAGGGCTTCAAGCCATTCCCCAAGGTGGCGGATGCTGCCAAGGCAGGGGAAGCTGAGCCAGCTGCTGAAGATGAGGAAGACTCCGAAGATGTCGATGATACCAACAACCTCTCCAACGCGTATGACTACCTGCTAGGTATGGCGATTTGGTCGTTGACCCAGGAGCGTGTGGAGCGCCTGCGTCGCCAGATTGGTGATAAGGAGATGGAAATCGACACCTTGATCAAGCTTTCCAAGGAAGATATCTGGAAGCGGGATCTGGAAGACTTCATCAACGAATGGCGCTTCCAGCTCGACGATGAAGCTCGTCGCATGCGTAAGGTGGCAAACATGGGCCGACGGACCTCCAAGCTGATGACAGCTGTGGGCCGTGGCGGTGCCCGCAAGCGTAAGGCTGCAAAGGATGACGACTCGGATGATGAAGACTTTGCCGCGCCGAAGAGCAAGCGCGGTCCCAAGAAGGCGGAGCCTAAGGGCACGCTCCACAGTTTCTTGAACAAGACTTCTCCTAAGCCCAAGCCTGCAGCGGATGATGATGATGATGATGATGACGATGATTTTGAGATGGAGGTGATGCCGAAGAAGAACCGCGGGGCCAGCAAGCCGGCAGCGCCAGCGAAGGAAGAGGAGAAAGAGACAGGCGACTCCGATATAGAAGTCCTGCCGAAGAAGAGTCGGGCTGCACCTAAGGCTGCCTCGAAAGTCAAGGCTGAAGATACCGACACCTCTGAGGTGAAAAAGGCACCAACCAAACGGGGCCGACCGGCGGCCAAAGCCAAGGCCAAGCCAGCAGAGGACGAGATCGAGCTGGACGACGATGAGTTCATGGAAATCACCAAAGCGCAAGCTGCCGAGACTACCAAGGCTGATCCAGCGCCCAGCCGAGCGCGCAAACCGGCCAAGTACACCTTGGATGACTCGGACAGCGACAACGGGGACGACCTCCTGGGCGACGTGAGCAAGATGGTCAAGGGGATCGGCGGTACTACCGGCGGATCGACATCGGATTCCCGTCAGCTGTTCTCGGAGCGCTCTGGGGCCGGCAGCACCTCGGGATTGGCCAGCAGCTCCAAGGCCTCAAAGCAGTCTCCCGATTTTGACGCCGACGAGACTGACTACAGCAAGCTAGTGCCACAGAGCTCTCCGCGCCGGTCGCTGCAGGTCAAGTCCAAGGAGACCAAGACGTTAGTTGACAGCGACGAGGAGGAGGAGGAGGAGGAGGAGCCAGTGAAGCCGGCCGCTACCAAGGCCAAGCCGGCGGCCCGAGGCAAGGCAGCGGCAGCAGCCAAACCGGCCGCGAAGCCACGAGGCCGACCCAAGAAGGATGCCACCACCACTACGGCCGCATCTGCTAAGCAGACGGCGCTGTCGCCCGCAGCCAAGGCTTACGCTTCCAAGCAAGCCAAGACGACCACCAAGAAGAAGCAGCTGGCGGATGACTTGTCGGACGACGACATTGATGCAATGGCTAATGATATCTTGGATTCGCCCGCGGCGCCTACTACCCGGCCATCGCGGCGCACGGCAACTGCCAAGAAGAAGACGTACGTGATTGATGATGACAGTGATGACTTTGGAGCCGGAGGAGATTCGGGGGATGATTTCGCAGAGGACAGCGAGTAGAAGAAGAAAGATGTGGCGAGAAGAGTACATACACTTGGACGTAAACTAATTTCTATTGAGTCGTTTTGTACCTACTACTACTACTACTACTACTACTATTTGTTTGCTACTGTTTTACCAGATATGATAATGCAGTCGAATTTCCATTTGTTAACTCCGAAGTCTTATCTCGGATGGGTTGTTTGTAGAACGAAAAAAAGAGAAGTCGGCGAGAAGTCCGAGGAAAGTGTGGCCCCAGGCTCCACTCAGGCTCCACTTTGGGGATCCACCAAATCCAAGGCTTGACTTTGAAGTCTCTTTTTTCTTTGCCTTTCGAGAAAGAAAGACCCGCCGTTGAAGGGGATTGCGTCTTTCCGGACCTTAATTATCGACCGAGACTGGCCTGGCCATTATTCAGCAATGCTTTAGTTCCAGGATTTGCGTAGTACTCTTCGTCTCCAAGGTGGTTCTCTCGTCTGTCCCTTTTCCTTTCCTTCTTCTCTTCCTGTGCATCTCCCACTGACAGACATCTCCCCTCCATGCAGGCCTATCTTCAGTACCGCCGCATTGGCCATGCCGTGCGCAAACAACTTGAAGATTTCCCGGAGTTTGCCCGACCAGGTGTCGCCAAAGATGACCTGCCGGAGGGGATCCCCGGAGACGCTCCTAACACAGGTTCACGCCGCCGTTCGAGTCCGTTGCTGCCAGGTGTGCAGCTGAAGGACGTAGTTGAGAACGATGGCACCTCCTCATCCGTCTTTCTCGTCGACTGGGACGGTGACCATGATCCCATCAATCCGCGCAACTACAGCCGCGCCACCCGCATCGGCGCAACCCTGATGGTGTCCGCCCTGGGTTTCGCCGTCGGTGCGGCCTCATCTATCGAATCCGGCGTGCTTCCCCAGAACGCAGCAGCCTTTCACGTCAGCGACGTCGTCGCATCGCTCGCAACGGGTATGTATCTGCTCGGCTTCGCAGCAGGCTCGCTCGTCTCCGGGCCCCTGTCTGAAATCCTAGGCCGCAACGCCGTCTACACCGGCTCCCTCACGCTCTTCATGATCTTCGTCATGGCCTCAGGACTAGCCCCCAATATCGGCGCACAGCTCGCTTTCCGCTTCCTGGCTGGCATCTTCGGTTGTCCACCGCTGACCTGCGCCGGCGGTACCATCGCCGACCTTTGGAACCCCCTGGAGAAAACCCTCTTCTTCCCTCTTTACGCCATCCTCTCCTTCGGCGGGCCCGTCCTCGGCCCCGTCATCGCTTCCTACATGGGCGAGGGCACGCTCTCCTGGCGCTGGACCAATTGGATCATCCTCATCCTGGCAGGTTTCATCCTGGCCCTGATCCTCCTGGTGCAGCCCGAGACCTACGGCCCCCTACTCCTGAAATGGAAGGCGCACCATCTCCGCCACCAAACGGGAGACAACCGCTACCGCTCATCGATGGATCTCCAGGAGACGGCGCTATTCTCTCGCATCGGAACCGCCTGCATGCGACAATTCGCCCTGACCATTCACGAACCCATCATCCTGCTGATCTCTCTCTACATGACCGTCATCTACATCGTGCTCTTCACCTTCTTCGACGGATACACCTACATCTTCACCGACGTGCACGGCCTCTCCCAGGGCCTAACCAACATCGTCTGGGTCGCCATGTACGTCGGCATCTCGATGGCCGGCCTTTTCGTCCCCGTCGTGTACGTCTGGACAAAGCGCGAATTCTCCGACGCGGCTGCATCCGCTACTGCATCTGCAGCGGCGTCTCCCCGATCGGCCAGTTCGGAAATAATCGCTGCCGATCCCAACGCCAACGCCGATACCAATGAGAAACCCAACCTCGACGACCCTACTACTACTACCGACGACGACGACACTCAAAAGCCCACCCAGCAACAGCACAAACACGTCGCTCGTCCCGAGAACCGTCTCTGGTTCGCCATGCTCGGCGCTCCCGCCATTCCCATCGGCTTATTCTGGATGGGATGGACTGACTACGTACGTCCCCCTATCCCCTCCCTCCTCTCCTTATATCTATACCCCTCCAACCCCCCCTTTACTAATAAACTAAAAAATAGAGCACTATCTCAATCTGGTCCCCCATCATCGCATCCACCGTCTTCGGCTTCGGCACTATCTGCGTCTTCATCTCCTCATACATGTACGTCATCGACGCATACGACATCTACGCCGCCTCTGCGCTGGGCTTCATGACAGTGTCGCGCTACTGCGCGGCAGGCGGGATGACAGTCGTGGGCATCCCGTTTTATAGTAATATGGGGGTGCATTGGACGTTGACGATCCTGGGGGCGATTAGTGCCTTGATGACGCCCGTTCCGTATGTGTTCTATCGGTATGGTGTGGTGATTCGGGGGTGGAGTCGGTATGCTGTTTAAATTTGATGAGTTACAGGGTAAAGATGACGATGAGCATGGAGATGGAGATGAGAATAATGAAGGATGGTTTAAAACGAGTAGATGGGATATAAATATAGATGTATATATATGGGTGGGAGCATGGATGGATAGATTATAGATTCATACTACTAGATAGATGGTAGATTATTAGCTAATTTAATTTCATGATGATTATATCACATACACACACACTGTTTCTCTCTCTCTTTCCAAACCAAGCTAAGCATATACTCCAATTCGCACATCATGATCGGTTAAAAGTAGCGTACAGAGTCAGATACCAACTTCATCGACGCAAACAGAATTGATACTAAATCAAAAGCCCCTAGCGAGGCTGATTTTGTTAAGGGGTTTGAAAATGGAACGGGAAAGGGGAAGACAGACTAAATAGTTGCAGTAGGGACTGCTTTATTTACTTCTTCTGGGGTATTCTAATTGAAGTCTGGTGGTAGTTTCACGTGATATTGGAAGGAAGGTACGTGAAGATGGGGAAGGAGAGCATTCAACTTAGTGACTGGCTTTGAATATCAATACTCTTTGGCATAGTTCCAACAACCACAATCATACGTCTGGTCTATTTGCACTTACAACAATACATAAAGCTCAAACTATAAACAATCATATCAAGTCTATTCTAATCAAATTGCAATACATGACCAACGCCATTACATGTCCTAAGAAACCACAACGCCATCCATCCATCCAATCAACAGCACATGCGCACATTTTCAAATATAACCACAGATCACACCCTCATAAGAAGCGGTACTGAGCGAATGCATGGAACCGTGTTGTCAACTTACAACATTTCATATCTGAACCCGCTATTGCGCAAATCCATTAGTGCATGTGCGGCAATGGCTGTCCTGGAACCCTCCAAGGGAGCCTCAGGCTCACAAGTATACGTTGGCTGCCAGAAGCAGGCATCAACCATTCCAGTAGCCAAGATGACATCAGCCGAGGATAAGTTGCTGCTATAGTAACTCGCTTGCGGTTCAAATTGACTGTCTCTCTTGTGGTCGTCATCGGAGAGGTGGTTGCTCGATAAGCTGGAACCATAAAAGGTAAGCTGCGAGCTTGTCTCTGACCGGAATTCCTCTCGCATCCCACGTTCGAAAACTGCGTGTGGTGAGATACTTTCGTCGGAGGTGTAGGGGGTATTGGCCAGCATATATGTATTCTGGGAGCTGCTTGTTGGCGAACCGCAATAGGTATCTTGCGGAGAGACACTCTGACATTTCTGCTGGCAAGGCGACGGTTTTCGGGTGTTGTACTCTGAGTCTCGGTCGAGTTCTTGGGGGTTTTGATGACCTCCACGTCTGGGGACCTGCGGCTCCAGGCTGCGATAGTACGCTACATCCTCCGTGGCTTGACGAACTATTTCCGAATCGATGATCATATTGTTAAAGCGGGCGTCGTTTGGGGGTATACACTGCGCGGGAAAGTCGAGGCCGAACATGGGCGTTAGGAGGAAACGAATATTCCAGCAGAATGTGGTTGCTAGCGCTTTGGCAGCCCTAAATGGCATCCAGTATCCTTGATTTTAGTTAGCGGAGGTGTCTGAAAGGAAACTCAAACTTACCTTGTCCGACGAGTGCGCCACCCGTGATGCTGTAAGTGATCTCGCTGAGGCCCGGGTTCATTTTCAACACCTTCGCGGGAGCGGTCTGGAACCATCAGATATGCTTTATTACGCACAGAGTAGGACGACACACCTTTGGATGGCCATTGCACTTGAAAAGAGCTGTTGTGAGAACAAGCCCGACATTATAATCCCACGTTATCACCCACTTTTTGGGGCTGTCGGGCAGTTCGAACGTGTAGTGGAAAACTATGGGAAACTCTTCCGGTCAACGTATGGCTTGAAGTAGGATAATGAGCAATCACCTTCAAATCGTTCTCGCCCTGTCCGCTCCTTGAATGACCTTTTTGTGCTAGTGTAGGGAATGCGGTCCGGAAAGTCTGCTATGTTGCCCATGGGGTATAGCTTGTGTTTCAAGTGGATCTTCTTGAGCTCTTCATCGCGCTCATCGTGAACACGATAGCGAACTTCGCCCTGGATTTTGCCCCTCCTAAATGAAGGCTGATCTTTGGGGACCTTCGTCCTTTCTGAGCGGGGTGTCTGTAAAGACAATCCACGCTGTAGGCTCCCCGGGTTAAGACTGGGGCACGAGGTATCGGGGTTCAGAAGAGAATTTATAGAGGTCATGAGTGCGATGAGCCGAATTAGGCAAACGATTAGACAGACAGAATGTGTGGCTCGGTAGAAGTGAGAGGGGTGGGCATCGAAATCTTAAATAACGATGAGAAAGGTCAGATATGCAACTGCACATTCTCACCGATCTCTCTGCTTCTCTTGGGCTGAGACTTACCATCCGCTATGCTCATTTAGCAAAGTTCTAGAAGGTCTGCGAAAGTTTCGATGAAGGTTACCAAACCGTAACGGGGCGACTCAGAGCACAGTAGTTGTTCAAGCCCGAAGGTCGGGAGATCTTTCTGCGCCCATCATAAGGCTACCTAAGAGAAATGGCATGCCAGGAAAAACAACACACAGGGGAATAGAAAAAGAAAAGAAAGGAAGAGCGGGAAAAATTACAGTGTCTTCCTTCTACACCAGCGCCAATGCATGCGTCCCCTGATGGTTTTCGGAGAATGAGCTCAATGGCTGATTCCGTGGAAAATAGGCTTGTTCTGTTTGCATGGCACAAACCATTGGCCGGCCCTCGAGGCTTCAGGCCAGCGGTGAACCAAGTCCCCAAATAGATTCTCGAATAGACGGTTGGCTTTGAAGGAATGTCTTGGATGGAGGTTTCCCTCATGAGACAACCTCACCGATAGTTGACAAAGCATCACGAGACGGTATCAGCCACTGTTCTGAGACCAGACCTAGGCTTTATGATGTCGGCTGAGAGAATCAATGCTCCAACTGTCCCTGTAGATTACTTGCACCCCTCTGGGGGGTTGCAGGCTCTGGGGATCTCATTGTCATCATTGACATTGATTATCCTGGTATGACAGGAGCTCACGTAGGTCTGTAGCTCATCGAGGCCACCTTCGTTCCACCACCCATCTGGAGTTACCCACGACCAGGGTCGCGATGCAATACCACCAGATCAGACAGTGAATTAGGTTTTAGGGACTCATACGGCCATGTGGATGTCCTGTGCAATTGACCAGTATTGGTGCCAATGTCGTAAACCTTTTAGGCCTTGATAGCCCTTATTTGCAAACAGATGGCACGATAACCCCAGTAACAAGACTAAAAGGGGGGCCAAGATCCACAAACCTTAAAATGGGGATCTACATGACGTTCTCGTACTGTATCGTCTGGAGCCTGCTGATGATGACATCTTGGCTCTGCAGGCCGGTCGCCAGACGGCGAACTCATGCCGTCCATGAGCATCTAGCAACCGATCTGAAGTACATATGATGAGCTGCTCGAGCAACCGGGGGACTAGGCATTTTACTCGTATGACCAATAACGAAAGAGCAGGGCTAGATGAGACTGGCTCGGCGAGGCGGATATTTGAGAGGTCTCAGACCAACGGGAAGCCGCAGCTCGCTCTTGTATCACCAGAAGCTGCTTTTCCGCCAGCTAATAATTTCCATCGGATCTCAGGGGTGCTGAAAGACTTTGCAAGACGATGGTTTGTATTGTGGTGACTTTGTGGCTGACGGGCTGAGGAGGCCAAGCTAGGAATCTCAGTTTTGGAATGGGAAAGGAACTGGCCTCGATTGTCTCACATCCGCTCCAGCCGATGAATGCCGACGGGCATGTACTAGGTACTACTGTCGACAGTATGGCCCCGTTCTTTTCACGAGCTCATCCAAGCCGAAGGATGAAAACCCATGGTCACACTACTCTGCATCATTTTATCAGACGACACCTCTGGTATAGGGAACCTCACCAACACAGCTTCAACTCAGGCCTTACTGCATGGAGGCAGTACTCAATGACAGCAGAGTTACCTATGCTCAATCTGTAGATCACTCCCCGAGCCAGATCTGGCTTCTACGTCCATTAGAAAAGGTAGGGAGAGATGTCAGCCCCGATAAAGCAGACCATCCCGCTGGTGCCAGTAATGTTGAGCTTCCACGCGGGATTCTGTGCCGGGGCCCCACGATTCTGTGGCTTGGCCTGCCAGCTCTCTGGTTCCTTCTACTCATCTGTGCTTCCAAATAACCCTGTTGTGTCCAACGTGTCCAATCAGTCCCTCAGAGGCGCAGCCGAGCTTCAGCGGGGAGAAGCGCAGCGGCTTGGAATCGGCATTTGCAGACAATGGAGAAGGATTCCGGCCGAGCGGTACTAAGTGGCAGCTAGAGTTGACGACTCAGGAAGTATGACAGGTTCTCTGGCGGTTAGTGGATGGGTAGACCGCGACAGGGGGGCTGGTCTGAGAAAGGCAGAGGAAAAACTCAATTCAAGACAATGGGAAATTACTCAGGCTGCCACACGTGCCAAATTAGCCTTTCTGACCTCCCCAGAATTAGAAATTGGAGGAACAGGGTGTGTTCTAGGCTTGTTTGGGGGGGCGAAGAGGGGAGTCATCGCATGTGTTTGTGAAACGTGATGTTTAGCCTTTGGGTGACTATGAAGGACAGTGATTGGCTGCGAGGGTATGTTTAGGCTGTGAGAACGTAGCAGATCCTTTGAGATGGGTAGTAGTCAGAAGACAAAAAGAAATAGGCTCAGGCTCAGGCTGGGAGCACAGAGGGAAGGAGTTGGGTGGATGAAGATGAAAGAGACAGTAGATAGAAACTAAGAAGGTATACTAGAGCATGCAGTAGTACCCCGTAGTCCATTACTAAGTTTATCGCTCCTTCCCCGAGCGGGACTGACTGCAATACTTCCGGGCGGGTCCCGTGGCGCCTTCCCAATCCATCGTCACTGCTAATTTATTCATGTGCCTACTTTGTCCTCGTACTTCCAACTGGGTTCTGATCTTCTCTACACAGCTTGAACAGGGATAGTAACTCGCATGACATGCTTATAATCTGTAACTAGTAAGAAGTAATGTCCCAGTCAGAACCCCCTCCCTTTCCCCAGCGCCCCCAAAGGACGAAAAAGCAATAACTGCATGCCAACAAACGCACGATGAACAAGTATTTCTCCTATTTGTCATTAGCCGCAAGGGCCATACAAATCCCTCCGACAAGGCTGTGACTTTCAAGCAGAAACAAATGCATACAGCTGCACAGTAAGCGAGTACAGAGGAAAGGCAATTTTGATCCTGCAGCTACCCCTCTTTCTCAAGGCCTGAGACATACATACCAAATATCAGCAATTAGTAGTAGGAGTCAGTCCGATGTATCCCAGTAGCCTCTCAGCTACCCATTTGGTGACCATTGAATCAGCTCATCAGCATTGAGAAGCTGCCACATCCCAGTTCTTTCTTCCCACATCTACCTCGCTTTTTTATGTACCACATTCCTGGATCTAGAACCGCAAACCCGTCGTCGGGTTGCATCCGAGGATGCCGCGGCCTTCTGTGCGGCCGGCGAGTATCGAGGAACAGGAGGTTATCTGACCTGCAGCGGTCGTGGACGAGGACTCGCCGCTGGGATGGTGATCCCTCCCTGGAAACTGGAAGGCGATGGTCGTGTCGTCTCCGGGTGATACGACCTTCCTTGGAACTCGAGCCTTTTTTCGAAGTCTGGGGAGGACAGACAAGACGCTTGTCTGGCCTTTTAGCCACTGCGGTTCCTGAACCATCGTCCGCATCTTCCGGTCGCAGACGTAAAAGAACGTACTTTGGCAAAGAGAGGAAGAATAAACATGAAAGCGAAATATAAAAAAATAAGGAATGCATACATGCATTAAGTGGTGTCTGGTAGTATAGCTAGAAGGTAATTAAACACGCAATCTGCTCAACGCCGGTCCTGTTATGCCACCCACCCAGAAATTTGTCCTGCCAGAAACGTCTTCAATCGCATAAAAGCATCCCAAATAAGTCATGTAGGCCAACCCCCAATGAAAGTATAGACAAACACCTAACCCGAAAACATTATGAAAACACCCTTTATCCATTAAAGGACCAACCACCGTTGAGGCGCAGACGCTGCCGCTCAGCAAGGTCACGTCGGATCTCGTCCTGTGTCAGCCCATCGGCGCCAGACCAGTTCGCGCTACTCGTACGCTCACGGAACTTCTTGATCTTCTTGTCCGACTTGAATGTCTCCTCCAGGGAGAAGGGAGCAATAGGGCCGAAAATAGAATCCACCTCCATGCCTTCCTGCTGGCGCAGGAGTGATTCCAGTTCCTTGGGCTGGGCCCACTTGGGCACGGGAAGCATCTCCGCATCCGAGTCCTCGTCCTCACTGTCGGTCGCAATCTCGGGAAGGTTGATGTTCTCACCATTCGGATACTTCGGTGACTCCTTGACCGGTGCCTTTTGAGACGCACTAGCGGCGGCAGGAGTTCGGTGTGCAGCCGGCTGCACGCTGGGGGGTTCCGCAAAGGGGATCTTGCCACTGGCGTATTTGGCCATATCCAGTGGATGCCCGGGTCGCTGGGCCTGACCCGTCTTGAAGATTGAGGAGCCGGATTGATGTGCAACAGAAGGCTGTGTATGACCAAAAATGGACGGCTGTGTCGGTTCCTCGTTACACGGTCAGCGCTGCTAAAAGACATGTCAAAAACTAGCGTTGTACTCACCTTACGAATGTTGGATTGACGAATCGGCGGGGCCATCGCCGGACGCATAGAGGACATGCGGCTTTGCTCATCCTCTGTCCTCCTACGTTTGGTCTCGCCCGACGGCTGCATGGTAGCAGACTTCGGTGCTGTCGGTCGGTGGTTGGCCTCGTCATCAAGCCCTCTCTTGGGCGGTTTAGCGGGGTTGGGTTGGGGCTGGTTAATTGACCGATTGAACGGCTGAATCGAGCCCAGTCGTGAGGCTGGTCTAGCTGCACCAAGCTCGCTGCGTTGGCTTGCCTCGGGCTGCTGGCTTCCCTGTCGCTCTAGTCTGCGCTGATTCTCCAAGCGGCGTTTTTCAATGGCTTGCATGTGGGCGGCCTTCTTTGGATCCTCGGCAGCAAGTCGCTCCCGGCGCTCAGCCTCCGCCCGACTGCGCATCTCCTGACGGCGAGCTTCTTCTTGCTGCTGAGCTGCACGCTTCCGTTCCAATTCGCGTCTCTGCTCCTCCCGGCGTCTTGCTTCGCGCTCCTCTTGCTCTCTCTTCCTCTCACTTGCAAGCTGGGCTTTTCTCTGCGACTGACTGGATATAGAGCTCTTGAAACTGCTGTTAGAAGAGGCTGTGTGTAATGAGGTATTGCTAGCCTTCTTCTTCAGAGTCGACGGTTTGGAAGCCGAGGCTGGAGTTGGTGCAGGGACGCTAGACTCTCGCGTGTTGGAAGACACTTGCGACGCTAGCGGCATTTGCCGGGAGAGTGCGCTGCCTACGCGAATTGACACGGGCTGAGGCTTCGGTTTCTGGACCTCACGAGCCGGCTTGAGAGGGCGACGTTCATTTTGCTTTGATGACTGCTGCTGTGAGACGGAACTTGGTGCGGCAAGTTTGGGACCGGCTTCGATGCTAGACTCTGGTTCCTTGGATGGTTTCTGTAGATGCGATGTCTTTTGCGTCGGCAAAACGGTAGCTGACTCGGTGGTTGGCGCACGAGCTTCAGGGTCAGCGGCCGGCTTCTCCTGTGGCGCCTTGAGTTTCGTGGCTCTCTGTTTCTCCAATTGCCGAGCTCTCTCCGCCTGCTCCTCTTCCCTCTGGCGGTCTTCAAGCTCCTTCTGTCTGCGCTTCTCTTCTCTTTCGGTGGAGCTGCGCGTCCGGCGGCCTTCTTGGCGTGGAGGGCTCGGAGGCTGTGTCGACTGCGGCCGCTGGCTTTCCCTATTACGATCTGTGTCCAATCGTCCTGTATGCCTCAATCTCGGTTGGTCCGGGGAAGCAGATTCGACTCTGGCGGCAGCTGTAACCCCCCCAGTATTCATGAAAAGGCCCTTAGCGGATTGCACGATAGACTGAAGCCGTGATTTGGATGCACTTATCGGACCATCATAGCGCTCGGCCGGTGAGCCAACCGGAGTTGTCGACATCTGGTTATCGATATTTACAGACACGCTCTTCTGATGGCCAGGTCGCTGTGGCGATGAGTAGGACGGCGTTGATGACTTTCCACGAGTTGCATCTGAGGCGTGCTTAGAGCTAGTTCTCGGCACCTCCGGGGGATGGACATCTCGTTCCCTATCAACGGAAGGGCGGTCTTCCTCGGCAGCTCGGGCTATCCGAGCACTGGAATGTTTACCCAAGCTATCAGCTTTCTGGCTAGCACGTATATCTGGCCGGTATGGCGAATTCAGTGGCTTGATCCAGTCGTCATCAGCGGCAGAGTCAGGGGCCGGGGTCTCGCGAGACTTCAAGCCGGATGGCTCCTGCTTAGCTTCGGATTTGGCAGTGGGAAGTTCAGGGTATGTCACCTGCGCAGTCGACAGGCCAGGGACGGAAGGAATGGACTTGGTAGGTCGAGAAGGCTGAAGTTTGCCGAGCATGCTGATTTTCTCGTGCAGGAGTTGAGTCGATGACTTGTTGTGAAGCTTGCTGGCCCTAGTCTCGGCATCTCTATCTTCCTCTGTGACATCTTTCTTGTCATCGATATCCATCTTGTCGCCATGGATATTGCTGTCCTCCGCAACATGCTGGGTCGTCCTATGCCCACCGGTCTGTCTGCCCAGATAACCACCGGCGCTACCAAGCTTGTTAATGTCGAGATGGCTAGTGCGGGAAATTCTCGAGCCTCCCAGGCTCTTCTTCGTCAGGGGTTCGCGAGCTGGGAGTGATGCAAAAGTGAGACTGCTCTTGCGAATCGGCGGGCGTACTGGAGATCCTTCCGAAGGTGAGCCCATTTCATCGAGACTATCGAGGGCCATGTCGTCATTTGCGTCATCTTGGTCGTCCTGATGATGTTCGCGGGGTTGCGAAGTTGCATTTGTTGGCGGGCTCGATTTCGTATCCTTAAGCGGACTAGAAACTGGCTTTGGTGCGGCTTTCTCCGTGGGCAGGGATTCGCGTCTGGGCGTAGCTTCGGGTTCTTCTTCGGGTTCGGGTTCTTGATGGGCCTGAGCGTTTGGCTTTGCCTCTGGTTCCGGCGCATGTTCAGGTTCCAGCTCAACAATGCCCTTACGCGCAGGCCCCGGTTCCGGCTCTTGTTTCGAGTCCACGTCTGACATGATTTTGTCTTCAGGTTCCTCCTCAGGTTGCGGTTGTGCTTCATCAACGTTCTCTGTATCCTTCGTCGGTGACTTTTGCTTCTGAGGACTGGTGCTAACATTCCGCTTAGGCGATGATTCAGTTACCTCAGGCTCAACTGTTTCTTCGCGTTGGTGGACATCCTCGCGAGCGGAGTGGAAAGACGCCCCTGTAGTACGGCGTTCTTCATGCAGTTGGGGGAGTTGCTCTTCGGCAGCACCAGGTTCTTGATCCATGGGCTGAGTAGAGGACTGCGACTCGGGCTGCACTTGTGTAAGGACCACATCATCTTCTTCCTCTTCTTCGTCCCTCTCGTCTTGCGGCATGCCGTGATAGCCCGAGTCCGTGTTGTATTGCGGGAAGGAATTGAGGTTCTGGGTCAGATCTGGGTACTCGGGTTGTGATGTGTCCTCCGTGGTCTTCTTGGCTTCCGTCGCAGTAGCTGGGCCTGCAGCCGCAGTGACGGGCTTGGTTGGTGAGCGCTGAACAGCCGGGCTAGCACTGAATTTATTCTCCGTCTTGCTGTTGTTGTTTGCGGATGAGAAGATCTCGCTCAGGGGCTGGGAGCAGTACGTTAGCAGATATCAGGTGCGCAGAAAGTAGCTGGTATAACGCACCACTCGAGATTCGTTCGCATCCCGCTTCCGCACTGTACGAGGCGTTTTACCTCGTAGCTTTCCCGGGGTTTTGAAGACATCTGCGAAATTGCTATACAACAGTAAGCGTCAACAACTATGCGTCAAGCCTGTAGACTGGCGCGACCCACGATTGGTTGTTGGAGAAAACCTCGGCCATATGTTCATTCAGCCAATCCATCTCATGGCGCACTGGGTATTCAATCTCCTCCATTTCCTGATCCACCAGCTGCATAAAATTTTCCTTTTCGGTTGAGATCCACGCTGCAGAGCCTACAGGCTTCTGCGCCCTCGCGCCTGCCGCGGCCATGGCGACGTAAACAAAGCGATCGCACAGCGGGTTGACTGAGTACTATGAAAGGGGCGTGAATGATCGAAGGGCACGGGAGCCCGGTCTAAAATATAGCGAGAGACAACGATGGGGACATCGAATAGTGGTGGCAAGGCGATAAGAGTTGACGGTCGATTGGTGAGCTGAAATGGCCTGTCGTCGGGAGTCGAGCATCAAAACATCGGCAAACGCGTGAGTCCCGCCATGGCACGTGACGGTGCATCATACTTAGTGCCTGATATCGAAGGCATCCACGTCCTGGTTTAGGCAGGAGAGGAAGTCAATCATACACCAGACAACAATCATCGCTCATGGAAGGTGCAATGCGGAGTAGCTGCAAATAACCCCCTGAGGCGTTTCTCTGGCCTTTTTGACTTTTCTGGCTTGATTCTACGGTGTATCTATCTATTTTTCCACTCCCCTTTCGATAAGCATCGCTAGTCCCGCCCTATTGAACCATGTTGGTACCGCTCATTCGAGAGCTGTCCTAAGACCAGGAACTGACGTGGGCGGAGTGTTTCTTCATGTAACAAGTGATGGTCCCTTGCTGTGCTCATGGGACTCACATGAGGATCACTGCACCGCCAGCTGTCCCTGTGCACAGTGCACAGATCTAGACTATCCACCAGCCTCCAATATGTACCATACCGGACCGGGCAGTTTCACAATCGAGAGGTGACGGAGGTACCAGTCAATGTGCCGCGATAAAGAGGAGAGATGGCGTTCTTTTCCATCGGTCTTTGGAACCATTATCCAACGTTGACCACTTTATGACCCGGTCATGACATCATCTCAGAGTGCAAAGGGTAGCCGTACAGAGAGTTCGTTAATCCGTTCTTGAACTCGGTAACAGAACAGCAAATAGCCAGAAGCTCGCTTCGCTGGAAAAACCCGATGGGAAAGTCCGGGGCGTTACTCAAGCATCGACTGAATTGGAAACTTTGCAGGTTTTCTGCAGTGGAAAAGGCAGAGGATCCCGGATGAGGGAGGAGTACCAAAAGGCCATACATAGCTGGATGGGTGATGGAATGGTTCGAGTAGATCGTAAGTAGGATAGTCAACCATGGAGCCAACACCTACTTACTTCAGGTAGACTCGTGTATCGGAACCCCTTGCATTACGCCCACACCGTCTTGAAAGAGGGATGAGAAACTGATCATTAATATCCAGTAGCTCATTAGCTAGACTAGATAGATCACTAACCTGTAGACAAGACAGTACCTTGTAGTTAGTTTAGTTAGTTAACGGCTGGCCAGACTAACTAAAAGATAGTCCGAAACACCGGGTCCATCGTCACATGCGGGCCCTTTCCGCTTGAGTTGGAAGGCGCGAGAAAAAGGCCAAAAACCAAGCAAAGCAAAGCAAAGCAAAGCAAAGCAAGCAAGCAACTCAGCACACGATCATTGCATCACCCGCTCCTCTCCTCTCCTCTTTCTCTCTCCCTCTCTCTCTCTCCTTATCCTCCCGCCCATTCTCACCCCTCCGTCGCCAACTCTCTTAATCTTCCCTTTTCCTTTCCTTCTTGCCTCGGTCGTTCTCTTCGTCTTCCCTTGTATTATTTAATTTCAACCCGCCTTGAAACTTCCCCTGAACCCGCTCTCTAGTCCCCGGCACTTTCCTCCTTATCTTTTCCTCCCGAAAATCCTCCAGACCTTCCGAAACGCACACACGACTTTCCACCATGGCTGACGTGAGCTATCCCGACACAAATGGCCACAGTAAGGTACGAGCAGTCGCCGGTTTTCGTGTTATGCTGTTTTGTGAGGACGCATTGAAGCTGATTTAGTCTCTGATCGCAGTTCCGAATCTCCCACGCACATGCTCCCAGTGTAGGTTACACGAACTGACCGTTACTCCCTCGCTTAGGCGCACTCGCAAAGGGTAAATAGCTGGCTCCAGACACACCTGCTTCGTGTTTACCGCTCGAAATTGGTGACTTCATGACCAATTGATCTGACATACACTCGATTTAGGCCCCATTGCCGAGAACATCAAGTCCGAGGCGTCCCGCACTGGTCAAGAATTCCGCGATCTGAGGAACACTAGCCCTTCATCTACCACTGCGACCGGTCAACCCTTGACCTGTACGTTATGACACAGATCAGCTTGCAGGCGCTCTCTATACTAACCCTATCCAGACTACCACTCGCTACTGTACAGCCTTTTGAGCGTTTGTGATCCTGGATGCCGCCAGGCGCGTCACCGTCTAACTGATTCTTATAGTGGGAGCAACCCCGAGCTACCGCCATCTCCTTCGCGAGTGTCGTCACATTCATCTTTGCCGCCCGTTACCTTCCTCTCCTCCGTTGGTTCTTTAAATTCATCTATGTGGTTCTGGGATGTAGGTCTAAACGCGGGTCCCGCACAGGAACAACAACATATGCTGATCGCCGATTGTACTAGTCACCGCTATTGTCGAGGTCGGTGGCAGACTTGCTCTGTCACAGAGTGTCGTGAGCTCATTCCGGCCTCGCAAGTACTACACCGTGCCCAAGGAGACTATCGAGGCTGTGTTGGAGGACCTTGAGCAGCTCATCGACTTTGTCCTCATTGAGTTCCAGCGTGTTCTGTTCGCCGAGAACATTGTCCACACCATTGCAGTACGTCTAAGAAACACCAGTTACTGGCGACTCGGGCCAATACTAAAACAATGTGCAGTCTTTCTTTGCCGCTTTCACCGCCTACTGGTTGATCAAGTTCCTTCCTTTCTGGGGACTGTCTTTGATTGCGGTCACCATCGCCTACATGGGACCCTTGGTCTACATCAACAACCGTGAAGTCATCGACGCCCACATTGAGCACGCGCAGGAAGTTGTCAACAGCCAGGCCCACCAGCTGAAGGATCTTGCTGAGGAGCGCACTGCCCATGCCACGGGTGTTGTGAGGCAGTATGTTGGTGACTACAGCGCCAAGGCCCAAGGATACATGCGTCGCTCTGCGACCCCCGAGATGGCTCGGGCACCCGCCCCCGTTATCAAGAAGGAGCCTGAAGCCGAGCCCGAGATCAAGACGACTGACTTCCCGGAGGCACCCAAGGAGGAGCCCGTGGCCGCCCAGGAGCCCGTTGTGGAGACGATCGAACAGCCTGCTGAGCAGGTGAAGTCGGAGCCTCTTCTGGCAGCTTAGGGAACCGAGGCCTTTCATACAGGATCGGCTATTGGTCGGGATTACTCGGATGATGGACTTGTGGGAATTGCGGGGTAGGTGCAGGGGTGATAAGAATTGGTAGCAGTGACATCCAAGTAGGATGGATTGGTTGGGTGTATGATGACTAACCAGGATGATGCGTTTGGAGGGTTTGCGGACGATAATTGTATGTTTCTCTGCTGGCTGCGAATTATGCTGCAACTTGTCGAATGTAATCAGCGTATGACTTGATTTTCTGTCCGATTAAACTTTACCTCGGATTTAGTGTCTGTACTACGGAGGAGTGACGTAGGCAAGCCAGTCGGGAGTATGTTGATACAGCCGAGCGTTTCGAGTCAATATATATTGCGCAATGGGTACATGGTATAAGATCCCAACGCATGACCATTATGATGTCGTTCAAGTCCATATGACAACAAGTAATGTTTGCATAGTAATTCGTGCAGCCCTACGATACTTATATACCCATAACGACAGACCTATGGGGCCTACCTAAACTAGCCTGAGCGGGAGCGGCAACGGGAACCAAAAAGACTACCACTAGTACTAGTATAGCAGCTAAACCAAAAACCCAAAAAAGAAGTTGCTGTGCATCATCCGTGAATCGAACACGGGCCTCATCGATGGCAACGATGAATTCTACCACTAGACCAATGATGCTAGTTGATGGAAGAATAGTTCTTATACTATACTATAGCCTAGTAGCACATCAAGCGAAACACGCACCCAGTATCCGTGCACCTGGTTCAAATCCCGAATGTCAACAATTACCTACTTAGTACCCCTGAAACCTTCTATTCGATCTTTTACTCCATCTTCAATGATATACTTTTGTATATATACATGCCAAGTATATATACAATACTCTTAGTCAACCCCTACTAAAAGCAGCAATTAGGCAAAGAAGCCAAGTAATCTAGGTTAGTTATGCTCCCCGCACCCCGACATATATTTATATTTGTCACAAGGCAACTACACAGACATGATGGATTGCATGCAGGACATGAATCAGCAAACTTCAATGCAAATTTTAACCGTCAATATAATATGATTGTGCATACACGGTTACGCCACACTCATGACTGTTTCTACTATTTACCTAGTTATGTCACTCAAAGTAGAGACAATAGGTACTAGATGAAAAGGGAAAGAAAGAAAAGAAGGGTTAGTTGAATCACCCCAAAGGTAAGTAAGTAAGTAGGAAACAATAACTTACACCAAATAGTACTAGTATTTCGAGTGACATCAGTAAAACCAGGTGGATGTACTTAGCCAAGAACGATTCAAACCCCGCAAAATCAATGATCTGAACCCCAGAAAAAGAAGCAACATGGCTTAGCTGAAAAAGCTTCAGCCAAGAACACTGAACATGACAGCCAAGTAATCAATATACCGGATCAATAAATAATTGAACGGCGTTCAACTGAAAGCATATCTAGGGATGGATGGATGGATAGATGTACACGCAATCAGGCAGTTACCATTGCCTGAGAATGGAAGGAGAAGAGGCCAATGCACGACATCTTTCTATTATCTACTTATCCATCTATCTCTCTGTTTATCACCATAGTGTATAATGTATTTACAGTAGGGAAGAGTACCACGGAGTAAGAGCATCTTCTTACCCCGCGACAACAAACCAAACCAAACCAAACTTGTTTCCACCCTCCATGAAACGGGGAACTGGAGGGGTTTGTGCCTTGCAAGTGTCAGTTGGAACAGATTCTGGAGCAAGGCAGGTGTAAGATCTACCAAGATCTGAATGAAGGCCAAAGCACACGGAAGAACACTGCAAGGCATCCCTTGCTTTTTCGAAACAAGATCTGAAGGTTAAAGAGAGTTGGCAGGCTTGGTAACTCGGTGCCTTCTTTTTATTCTTTCTCTCGAGGTCGAGTTGGTATAAGAGGTGGGTATGCTTCCTCTTCTTTTCACATACTGGGATCAAGCTCATGGTCATTGTCTATACTACTGAGCTGTCTTCAGATTCAGGATTCTCCCTTCTGCGGGCTGGTTCGATTAGTTCTTCTGTATATCGTTATGTACACCAACTTTTCGTTTCAAGTCTTCCACTTTCTGCTCTCCGTTCCCCTCATTATATATGTACCTGAAAACATCGCAACCGAAAAAAGATGAAGAAGGGAAGACAGAACATGTATCCTGGGGTTGATGGTGCTCTCGCCGCACTGGTGAAAATATTAAGTAAGTATTATGGTATATGAGTATGTCCCTTCTTTTAGGCCGTTCCTCCCAATAACCGCATTACATGAATGACGAGGACAAAAGAAACAAGGAAAGAAAGAAAGAAAGAAAGAGGAAGACACGACCGTCATCACGCCCTGCTAAAACCCCAACCGGACCCGAGAAACAAAGGAAACAAGGAAAACCCATAACAAAGGGAAGAGAAGTCTAATAATTAAAGTAGTATGGATGTGTGCAGCTCCCAAGATCTCCGGAAAGCCCCATAACAGGTAAGGACTGCTGTGCTTGGCTGTGTGGGTAATACTTCATTGAATAAGGATTGGCGTCCAAGGTTGTTGTCGCGGCTGCTGCCGCTGCCGCTGCCGGCTCCTGGTGAAACATGGCTCCCCCGGTGAGGTCAAGAGGATAGTCGCCCTCGCGGTGACGCTTGAGCGGCGCGAACGAGGCCGATGCGTCGGTATCCCATGCTGTAGGGATAGGAGGCTTGCAGGGGTCTGACGCCTTCGATGTGGGTGGCTTTGACGTGAGCGGGGATGTGGTGGCGGTGGACGGGAAGACGGATGTGTGTGATTCGAGATCAGGAATTTCCTTCCTATAGACGGGATTGCTTTCTTTGAGGGTCTGGGTGGGTGAGCCCAGAGTTTGGGAGTCGGTGAGCTCGGGGAGGTGGACGCGGGAAACGCAAATCACGGCGGAGCCATCTGCAGTTGCTAAGTATGAGACATGTCCAAAGACCCAATAGTGGATGGAAGGCGCTTACCTGTTCGACCGTCTAGGTATCGTTCTTCCTCCTCTCGTACGTGGTAGATCTCATCGAGCACGGGGATACGTTCGACGGGAGCGATTTGGCGCCGCACAGACTGGTCGGCTTCCTTCAATTTCTCCACGCAGATAGCGTGACTTTCACGCAGCTCGCAGAGAATATGAACAAGCAGGCGGATACGCTCTACATCCAACGTTAGCGCGACTGATGGACGAAGCAGATCGATGGAAATACGCACCCGCTTTCAGAAGGTGATCCGGTTCGCGGTGAGTGACACCCGCTGGCCACCAGGCTGGCTTGGTCAGTTCAGGGTCAAATTGCTGCGATGATCCGGATATGATCTTGCGTCCATTGTATGGATAGTTGACTTGTTTCCGGGGCTCCACGAGCTTGATGTATGCTTTGGCAAGGATGCGACAGTTGATCTGCTGCAGGCTGTCAAAAGCCTTCTCGTAGTATCTGCGCAGAAGGCCGGTGTTGCGCACGGGCAGCATGGACTTCTGGTGACAGGTGATGCTCATGGGAACGAGGCATTCATGGGATACCCGCTTCCTTTTAGACTGAGGAGGTTCTGTGGTGGAGTGGAACCTGAAGATGATCAGTGGTTGGGTCGCATTGAGATTGAGAAAGGGCGCAAGTACATTTGTTTAGCTGATAGATCGCTGGCGCTGGGAGATTCTGGGGAGAGTGGGCTTCTGCCTCTGATGTCTTCTGTTGTTGTGTTGGTGTCAACAAGGTATCCGTGCGAGACGTCGACAAGGAACCCTACCGAGCATTTTGGATGGATCACCTTTGCCCGACAGTGCCACCGCACGCAGAAAGTTTTCCGTCACGCTGGGAGAGAGGATCGTCTGGCAGTTATTCGCGATGGATTGCGAGGCCTCGAAACGTAATTTGCCATTGTCGTCTATGTAGATGAGGGCGAAGTGCATACAAGCCAGCCCGTCTAATGGCGCATCCATGGACACGGGAGTGTGAGACTGGCACGGTCAGCTTGCGTTGCCATAACAATCGCCACAGCCATCAATCATACCATGGAAGCAGAAAACAAGAGATTTGAATGTGATGACTCTCAAGGGATCAAGGTATACTTTTCAGTGGGATGACCTGTAAGAGTTCGATCAGGCTTCTGGTCGCAGTCGCGCAGGAGACAGAGAAGAAGCGTGTACAGTTGAAAGAAGTGAGACTCAGAAGCAAGGCACGAGAAGGAGCATTTTTAAAAGAACAGGACTGAGGCAAGAGGCAAAGACCAGCAATATTGCAAAGAGAATGGGGGGAGTGGCCAATAGATCCACTCGCCGTGTTAAGCTTACCGGATCGTCCTCAACCTGGGCTTCAGCTTCGTTTCGTTTCCGGATCCGCGACGCCCCTCATGCAATCTTATATGCGTGCGCGAATATATTTCCTGTCTCTATTAGAAATTATTAAACCGTTGGCTCGCCTCCAGGACCGCGTCCGAAAAGGAAGGAAAAAGCAACTCAAGTTCAGACTAGGCTATAGTACTTCCAGTACACCGTAATGATGGACCGTCGCAACCAGATCAATGGATCGGCCCAAGCTATGTCACTAATGTGCGTGGCCCTATGTGGCACAGCAGCCGACGGGTCCTTATCCGCTCGCATGCATTTGGGCGTAGGAACTAATGCTATGCTGCGTCGTTGCTTCCAATCACAGAGCTCGAGAGAGAGGGTCATGATGAAGTCCGGTCCTGCTGGCAGTCTTGGAATAGAGAAAGTGGCTAGCTATCAGAGTGGATCTTTCAAGAGATTGTTTCGCCACCCCCGGTTGGTCATATCTCGAGATCATAGTCCCATTTCCCCAAGCTGGAGTTCGTTTGGTTGCTATGGAATACGCCTTGTGGATGAATCTGTGTTGTGTACGGAGTAGCATGGACACTACCATTTCAGACAGTCGTGCCGTAGCAGGTTATGCCACCTGCTAGCAAGATTAGCAAGATCGCCTCGAGCTGAGAGTCCAATAGGTCCGCTGGCGCATTAATGGAGGCTGCAATACATACTCTATCTCGTTCGATAGCATGCGGATGTGCCATTCCGTCTGCCTACCTTTTCCCGTTATGGAAGACTTCGTGTCTTATTTTCTCCTATCTACGTGATTGCCTCTTCCAGATATTGTTTTATTCTACCGAAACACCCTCCCCTTGCCTGATGCGTCGGGTGTCAGACAGAGAAAGGTGCAGTTTGTCCATCCATGGTTCGCTCTGAGATCCGACCTGGCTGGCTGGCGGGGCAGACGCTGTCACCAGATAGTAGCCAACACGCCAGGCACCATATCGGATTATCCCGAGGAGGGCATTTGTCATGGTACTAGCAAAAGTCAATAGCGGATGGTCGAGTACCGTAGGCCCGGAGTGGCTGGAGGGCGGTTCGTTCTACGTGGACCACCGAATATCTCAAAGCGATGCACCGGACATGCGACGGCACCTCTCACTTCCGGTGTTCACCCATTTGTCAAAAGATTCCCAATGCGGGTTTCCCGATGTGTATACGGATGGAGTCGAGGATCATGAGTTGACCTAGCATTGACAGAGGTGCCAGTCCAGACAGGAAATTATGCGATACCTATTACATACTGGGGTCGGAAAACAGTTGCGAGGCTGCCGTGACCCATAGCGGCGACTATCACTGTTGTACCGCATCATATTCGATGTTTGTTTTTTTTCTCCATTTGGATATCCGGACAACACAACGCCATTGCTGGCCATCGTTCCTGCTACCCACATGGCAGATGTCAGGTAGTGACTTGGTCGAGCCTAGATCAAAAGGCAGCCTTGCCACATTGCGGTACTTCGTGGCTATAATGAGCTTGCTGTTGGGATGCCCAAGCCAGTGTCCCGAATACCTGGAGGGTAAAATTACAGCATTACCCTGGATTCCTTGGAAAAGAGTGCAGATGGAAACAATCTAGAAAGAATCGAATGATTTTCAGCAGAAAAAAGAAAAAAAGAAAAAGAAAGATATAAAGAAAAAGGAAAAGAGAAATAAATCTTCAACAAAAAAGAACTAAACACTCACACGGTACTCCGTAGCTGGACCCTTATGGGGACGTTACGGAGACGGTTGCCGCAGGCCCACCAAGGCCATTGGCCCTTTTGCCTTCGGATCATGTCTGATCGAACGATGGCTGAACCGATCCTGACGCGACGGATGGGAGCCCCGCCTCTGCCGAGACAAGGTTGTGACAGATCGCGGCCAAAGAACCCACTTGTGTGTGTGGTCAGAAGCAACCATCGGCGAACAGGAGGATGCCTAAGCGTACTGGGAGCACCTAATTCGCGATAATCCCGCCAGAACCGAGGAAACCACCGCGGCATGCCTGGCCTGCAAACGAATGTCACAGAGGGCTATTCAAGATAAGCACCTGTTTAGAAAATCCCAAACCCGTTGATGAAGTAGTACGGCCCTATCCGCCTGTTCCAGGTGTCGTTGGGAGGTGGACGTACATCTGTTCGATGTATGATGTGTCGGCCGGCGAGACTGCAGAGAAGTGCATATTGCATATGATACGGTGACCTGTCACGGTGGCTGAACGCCCGACATGCATACCGGAGAGCTTCCGGAAGTAACGAGCAATTTATTAACCTACTGAGTACGGCCGAGGTTCCCTTTTGTCATGGTTTATAAATAAATAACATCGGTTCGACGAGGAAAACTTTGCTGCAGGTGGGACGGAGCCTTCATCCAAAACTATTGTTGGCGATGGCTGCGCCAGAGGGTAGATCATCGACAGATAGTAAGCTGCCAGTCAACTGACAGGCAGGCTGCCTGATTGTTCACATGATTCATAGTGTGCGCTCCATCCCCAAAGATGCTGAAGGTTCGGGCCATGTCGGTCAAGTCTGTGCTTCTGCTAGGTTGGTGCTATAATCTATGACAGCTTGGCTATCGAACCTTCCGAGTCCTGGAGGTATATCAATTCCGTGCATCAACTTATCAGGATAAAGAGGAAGCTGAAAGTCAATAAGCTTACTTACCCTGGTCAATAATGTTTGCAGCTCATCTTAATTGCATTGAGGTAATACGCCACGCCACGCCACGGCATGGATGCTGTCATATGTACTTGCCGACATAATGGCACGAAGCGGAAGAAGTACCCGCGGATTGTTATTCGTATATGAGGACTACTACGTACTGAATGGTGGTGTTGGTGAGTAGGTATGGAGAGAACGAGCTTCTAATTTGTGATTCAAGTGATGGGTCAAGTTGAACTGGACATGCCCGATAGGGAAGAATTCCCCGATGTGGCAGGACAAGGCCTCGCAGACGATAGGAGGTGGATTTTCCATGTTTAGTAGATAGCTGGAGGTTGCCCAGTCATGACGACGCCCGCGTTTCTAGAAAGTTGCCAGTTCTGTGAAGGAGATCCACTCGGGGGTGCCTGTCGGATGTCGCATAGTTCGTCCTGGGTTCGTCGTACATTTGTTGAGTTCGGGTTGCTGCCGGGAAGGTATCGCTTTGAGAGGTCATCCCAGAGCGAATGTAGCGGTATGGATGCCGTGTATTGACTGCTTTGATAGGCTATAAGCTGAGACAGTCTCTTAAGTAGCTGGATCTACCAACTTAGGACGGTTCATGCATGAAGAGCTTGGGAAACCTCGATCGAGGCCAATGGCCGATCGATGTTGGGGAAGGTGAGAGTATTAATGTAATGCAAGCATGTTCACATCTTCGTCGTGCTATCGAAACAAGCCAGTCAACTGAAGAGAGGTCCTTTATATTGTTCGGAGAGAAGAGTGAGCGGGTGATGGAAGTAAGCTCAGTCAAGTTGAAAGCTGGAAGTCTACCTGCTATAGATGGAGGATGCCTCAGGTACCTGGCGTATACTGGGGTGTTGTGGTATGTTACCTTAATAGTGAGTATGTAACAATACGTAATTTTCTGCCGAGAATATAGTCATATGCACTAAAGATACTATAAATCAAGAAGTTAAACAATACATTACATGTTATATACACGTATGATTACGACAACCACGATATTTGGACTTGCGGCCACCTCTTCCTTTTCCCCTTTCCTCTTTTCTTCCTCCTCTCGAGTCACCTCATACTCGGGGAGAAATTGCGTTTGATTCTTTTCATCAAATCCTCTCTGAATCAGGCTGTCCTGCATCACGATCCACCTATCCATTGTCAATCTCTGACCGCACTGGGTGCCTTTCATTGACTTTCTACTACGGTATCTACTAAGTAAGTACTACCGGAGTACGTACATTCTCCCCCCATCCGTCCCCTGTGTTCTCTCTCTCTCACACACACACTCTCTCCTCCACTCCACCGCCCGGACGAATCCCATCCAGTGCATTAGTCCGTCCGCCCCAAGGCTGATCGCAACTCGACGGGCCAGCAAATCTCTTTCCTTCCTTTCCGTCCGCTCACTTGACTTGACTTGACTTGACTCGACAACTGCGGTCACAACTGAGGATTCTGACTTGTGACTAACGGATTTACTTTTGCCAGAGGTTACACTAACCCACCCTGACTAAGTTGTTGCTTTCAGGGTCTGTCCTTCCCATCTGCCGGCCCTTCTATTATCCCACACCCCCCTTCTTGAGTCTCTTCTGGCTGTCGTGTCCCCATCGGCCAATCACCGCCCCTCTGTTTCCAGTTTAATTTTTATTATTTTGGCCCTTTCATATTACCCTTTTCTATCTCGTCGTGGATCGTTCCAGAAAAGAATATTCTACGGAATTAAGCAGCGCAATCGCCAGGACACTAAGTCGTTAGAGGAATTGGCTTAGTGTCTCATCCCGCCCATCCCTGGATTCCGGCGAGTCAGAGTGTGCGACCGACATTGACTGTCGCTGCTGCGGACCTGATCCGTGGAAGTTTTTAATTTAACCAGAAACATTAATACCAAAAGAAAAAAAAAAAGAGAGAAGAAAAAAAAAATTAGAAGAGGAGGACAAAGGAAAGAAGAATTAAAAAATAACGAAAAAAAAAAAAAAAGAGAAGAAAGCTTGTGGCCTGGCCCAACCATTGATTGACCTTCCTCCTGCTCTTATCGACCGACATGGACCCCAACGTTCCCGGATTCCCTTCTGCGATGCAGCAGACCGCGGGTTTTCCTGTCACTCCCCAAAATCCACAGCAGTTCCCCTACTATCCGAATGCCATTCCCCCGTTTCCCCAATCCAAAGCTGTCTCTCATCCTCCACAGCAACAACACCAGCATACTCCTTTCGGTGCCGTGCCCATGCAAGCCGGTCCTAGTGGAGCAATGATGCCGTCCGGGTTCCCCCAGCAGTCATCCGGTACGTCGGGATCTTTCCTTTAACTCCCCTTGGCCTGTTATCTCCAAGCTCTTTTTCTCTGTCGCTACTGTTTCGCTACTTAATGTATTTCTTTGATCTCCCTGAGGCCTGTCATCGCTTCCCCACCTTTGCCCCTTTGATCTACACACGGCTGCTCCATGGCGCCGGGTTCTTTTTCCCATACTGAATCTACTGGACCTTGCCTGGTCTAGTAGTTCAAGTACGTGTGTGTGCTAATGGCCTGACGCGTATCCACTATTGCGCTACGCTTGCCCGTCGTCCTCTTCCTTCATGTGTTGTTGTTCGTTGTTTCCTTTTCCTCCTGGCCAAAGTGCGCAGGCGACGTTGGCCGCAAGGACTAGCCGCTAACCATCCGGATGGACTAGTAGGACCCCACGCCAACTACTCTGCACCATTTGCCCAGCCACCTGTGCCAGCAACGTCTATGAGCCAGTATCTCCCTCCCCAGGCGACTGCGACATCGACTCTTCCCGCAACTACAGCGCAATCCTTTCCGCCCAACATGGCTTCGGTACCGGCGACTAACATGATGCCTGCGCAACAGCAACAGCAACGGGCAGCGCCCCAGCAGAACCCATTGTCGAGCTCCGCTCAACCTGCTCCTCAGTCACCTGCGACGACCGCGCGCGAGAAGGCTCGTGTGTCTACGCTGTTGGACATAAACTCGATGTTGCTGCAGGAAGTCATGAATCTTCAGGCGGCTGGCAAGGCTGGTGCGCCTTCGCAAGGAACGTCAGAGTCGAACCCGTCGCCTGGTTCAGATCAGACCTCGGATAAGCCCACTCAGCGGCCAAGCGCAGAGTATCTCGAATGTATGCGTCGGTTACAAGCCAACTTAGGGTACCTTGCAACCATTGCCGACCGGGCTAAGAAATCAGGGGGTGTTCCTCCTGCCGCACCGGCGATCATGTCACCGCCTCCAAACATGCCTTCAATGAATGAGATTTACAACAAACTCAACGAGCTCTTCCCTCGGGCCGCGCAAGGTGGTATAGGGACACCCCAGCAGAGTCCACAATCATTGCATGGCAATGGCCGGCCTAGTCCTTCCCCAGCCGTTGAACACGTTGTTTGAAGAGGTCATATCGACAACAAAACATGATGTGTTGCGCGTAGTGCGAGCTCTATGGGGAGCTGAGCGTACTGGCTCAAGGTAGAGAGCAATCGACCGTCGCTCCTGCATCCCGCCTATACGCACATGGTTGCACGAGGCCCCTGCCCTGACCGGCTTTTCACTCAAGTCAAGCCTCGAGTTACGATCCGAAGAGCCTTCAAATGGGCATCGTGCGCGTCTATATTGCGCCACAAACTCTTCTCTCAATGATGAGCCATCAGATGAAGTCCACAGCCCATCTCAAGGCAGCTCTCTCTTTGAAGAAAGAGGTACTTGATATACTGGGTACTTCTAATTTAGAGTCGTGAAGCGTTGCAAGATACACAGACAGTGTTGGCGACCAAATGGGACGAACATGTGAACATTAGCACCAGAAGTGGATGGTAGCTACGAACGATGGAAGGCGGAGGTCCGAGTGTACGATAGGGTCTGGGGACATAGAACCGTATATAATAGAGATATATATATTTACTGCACGGTACTGCATTGCTATTGTAGAAAACTTGTTTATGGAGTAGGATCGCATGAATTGCTGGCCTGAATGATCAGGTCAGAAGACGCCGCAGCTCCGCCGGGCCAGGGCCAATCAGAGGGCGTCAATCGAGGTGTCCGCCCGGTTCCCTTTTCAGTTCTGTCTGCCACTGCAGCTCGCCTGACTTCAGTTCCTTTTCTCCTCCTTCCTCACGGTCCTCGTCATCCGCCCCTCGCTGTTGCAGTCTCTCTTGTTAGGGGGCCTTGTGAATGTCTTGCGTCTGGCTCCACATCCACAGAAGGAGCCTACTGTCTGTCGCTACGAACAATTCTGTTGCGAGGGCCGCTGCCTCTACCTCCGCCGCGCCGCCGCCGCCGCCGTCATCGCCGCCGTCTCGTTCTAATATTTATTTGCCTCTTCATCGCTCTATCGCCAATCCCATCGGATTTACCCTGTCGCCTGCGAGGTCAGTAGTTACTCGCAATCCTAGAGTTACTGCCTATTGGCGCTCTAGTCGACACTTTTCTTTGTGCCCGGCCGCTGCAGCGCCCGGTGTCACCACGAGCATCTGCCCTGGTCAGGCGCCCATCCGCTCTCTCAGCTCGCTCATTATACACTCTACGAGACCCAGTGGTATACGTTCTCGTGCAGACCCGATGGATTTGAACGGAGATGCAGGCGCCAAGCGCAAGCGCAGCTCTATCACCGCACCCGCTGAACGGCCTGTAAAGCATCTTCGCCCCGAATCGAGCGCATTGACACCTGGGGATTCGACGCCCGCCAATGGGACGGTATATGATGTGGAGGATGATGAAGATGCGGGTCGTCTGCTGCCTGTAGGGCCTGCTCAGGCTGATTCGCCGGAATGGCAAGCTACCATAGAGGAGGTTGTGAAGAGCGTTGTATCTATCCACTTCTGTCAGACCTGCTCCTTTGACACGGAGCTGTCTATGAGTAGTCAGGCTACTGGGTTTGTGGTGGATGCAGAGAATGGATACATATTGACAAATCGACACGTGGTTTGCCCTGGACCTTTCTGGGGATACTGTATCTTTGATAACCATGAGGAAGTAAGTTGTGCTCTCTCCGCATGTGGAGCTTTCTTGGGACAGGAATGCTGATTCGTATTGGTTACGTTAGTGCGACGTCCGTCCCGTGTATCGGGACCCAGTACACGACTTTGGAATTCTGAAATTCGATCCGAAGGCTATACGATATATGAAACTGAGGGAGCTGAAACTGCAGCCGGATGCAGCTAAAGTGGGATCTGAAATTCGCGTCGTTGGTAATGACGCAGGAGAAAAATTGAGTATTCTGTCTGGTGTCATTAGTCGACTGGATAGAAACGCGCCCGAATACGGCGATGGCTACAGTGACTTTAATACGAATTATATCCAGGCCGCTGCAGCAGCTAGCGGTGGAAGTTCCGGCAGTCCTGTAGTCAACATTGATGGTCATGCGATTGCTCTGCAGGCCGGTGGTCGTGCAGACGGTGCAGCGACGGATTACTTCCTCCCTCTGGACCGACCTCTACGCGCACTGGAATGCATCCGTCGCGGAGAGCCTGTCACGCGTGGAACGATTCAGACGCAGTGGATCCTGAAGCCATTCGATGAGTGTCGTCGGTTGGGCTTGACGCCCGAGTGGGAGGCGACCGTGCGTAAAGCAGCGCCCACGGAAACCAGCATGCTGGTGGCCGAGATCATTCTGCCTGAAGGCCCGGCGGACGGAAAGCTCGAAGAAGGAGACGTGCTTCTGCAGGTCAACGGGGAGCTTCTCACCCAATTCATCCGGTTGGATGACATCCTGGACTCGAGTGTTGGGCAGACAGTGCATCTGCTCGTTCAAAGAGGCGGTCAGAATGTGGAGATTGAGTGCCAGGTTGGCGACCTGCATGCCATCACGCCCGACCGGTTTGTGACGGTGGCTGGAGGCACGTTTCATAACCTGTCTTACCAGCAGTCGCGGCTGTATGCCATCGCTACTCGCGGTGTTTACGTCTGCGAGGCTGCAGGCTCCTTCAAGCTGGAAAACACCCTCTCAGGATGGATCATCGACTCGGTGGACAAGCGACCCACTCGCAATCTCGATGAGTTCGTGGAAGTGATGCGAACAATCCCCGATCGTTCGCGCGTGGTGATCTCGTATCGGCATATTCGCGATCTCCACACCCGCGGCACCAGCATCGTCTATATCGATCGACACTGGCACCCGAAGATGCGACTGGCTGTGCGCAACGACAACTCCGGTCTGTGGGACTTTTCGGACCTCGCGGACCCTATCCCAGCTCTTCCTCCGGTTCCGAGGAAAGCCGATTTCATCCAACTCGATGGTGTTAGCCAGCCTGCTGCGGCCGACATTGTGCGCAGCTTCGTACGGGTATCATGTACGATGCCCCTGAAGCTGGACGGCTACCCCCAGGCCAAGAAGACCGGGTTCGGATTGGTCGTCGATGCAGACAAGGGTTTGGTGGTTGTATCGCGCGCGATCGTGCCGTACGACCTCTGCGACATCAACATCACGGTGGCCGACTCCATCATCGTGAACGCTAAAGTAGTTTTCCTGCATCCGCTCCAGAACTACAGCATCATCCAGTACGACCCAAGCCTGGTGCAGGCACCGGTTCAGAGTGCCAAACTCAGCACCGACTACATCAAGCAGGGACAGGACACGATCTTCGTGGGATTCAATCAGAACTTCCGGATTGTTGTGGCCAAGACCGCCGTAACCGACATCACTACTGTTTCTATTCCAGCCAATGCCTCCGCACCGCGCTACCGTGCGATCAATTTGGACGCCATCACTGTGGATACCGGACTCAGCGGGCAGTGTTCTAACGGTGTTCTGATTGGCGAGGACGGTGTGGTGCAGGCATTGTGGTTGAACTACCTTGGAGAACGCACGTCCAATTCGCATAAAGATGTGGAATACCATCTAGGATTTGCGACCCCATCTCTTCTGCCGGTCCTGTCGAAGGTGCAGCAGGGAGAGATGCCTAAATTGCGGATTCTGAACATGGAGAGCTACGTGGTTCAGATGAGTCAAGCTCGCATCATGGGCGTGTCGGAGGAATGGATTGAGAAGGTGACGCAAGCTAACCCATCGCGGCATCAGCTCTTCATGGTGCGCAAGGTCGATTGCCCACCACCTGGATTCAACTCGGCGGCCGACACGTTCGAGGAGGGTGATATCATCCTGACCTTGGACGGACAGCTGATCACCCGCGTCTCTGAGTTGGATATCATGTACGAAAAGGATACGCTGGAAGCACTGATTGTCCGAAACGGACAAGAAATGCGGATCCAGGTGCCAACTGTCCCAACGGAGGACCTAGAGACTGACCGTGCCGTCGTGTTCTGTGGTGCTGTGTTGCAGAAACCACACCATGCGGTCCGTCAGCAGATTTCCAAGCTGCACAGCGAAGTCTACGTCAGCGCAAGAGTATGCTCCCCTCCCTCCGGCCTTTGCCACTGCTACCTAGGTAACTAACTACCCACTCTACAGAGTCGCGGATCCCCCTCCTACCAATACGGCCTAGCCCCAACCAACTTCATCACCGCCGTGAACGGTGTCCCCACCCCGAACCTGGACCGCTTCTCCGAAGAAGTGAGCAAAATCCCCGACAACACATATTTCCGCCTTCGCGCGGTGACATTTGACAATGTGCCGTGGGTAGTGACCATGAAGAAGAACGATCATTACGTATGTCACAATCCCCCCTATATTTTTCTCTACCAGATCCCGAAAAACGTGGTAAACTAACACATCTATTACCAGTTCCCCATGTCCGAGTACATCAAAGACCAGTCCCAGCCTTCCGGCTGGCGGACCGTGTCTCACGACAAGGATAAATATAAAGATGGCATTGCGCCGGATGCTGCGAACTTGAACCCGGATGCTATGGACGAAGGGTTTGATGGAGTCAGTGATATCGAGCCGGATCTGGAGTGAGTGCAGGGCGGACTGTATAGTATTCTGTGATGAGCATGGCCGTGTTAGATGTGTATACCAGACATGGCTTTTGGAAAACGTAAAAAGAAAGTGAAAAATGGGAAAATGATAGACATTCTTAGTTGCTTGTGCAGAGGTGTAAATTATCCGAGACAAAAGTATATCCAGATCGCTGATTGCCCTTTCCCCTATTAAAAAGCACCTGCTCACGATTGTGTCCGAGTATATATAAGCATGAGCTTGCTATCTCCGTGTCCGTGCGATTCAGTCAAAGGCTTTATCATTACCCAGAACGGGTTTCAATGTGTTGACGGTGACGGAGATGAATCATCACAAGAGGCAGACAGGCCTCTGGTGTTAGGAAGATAACGTGACAAAACAACCATATAACCAAAAGCCCCATCATTGACATCCACGCAACTCTCACAGATACGAAAACACAGTATCCAAAAGAGATATAAAGAAGTGTCAAGATCATCCAAAGACCAAGATCTAACAAACAATAATATCTCTTCCAAAGGGATCCACAACCCGCGAAATCGCTTCATACCCAATCCTACTCCTATGCCCCTTAACCGCAGCAACGCACAACTCCAACGCCGTAAGATCCCCACAGCGCGATGTCGCGATCTTAGAACTAGGCACTAATCCCTTAACCTTCTCCGTCTCCATCTTAGCCGTTATCTCGTACCCGCACATTTCCACCTCTAGAAGAACTAGCCCCTCCAACTGTCCCAGCTCAGATAGCACATCCTCCCACGTCCCAGCAGTCAACAACACTCCACGGAATGCTACATGTCGTAGCGTCTTATGAAAGTGTCTTAGCCCGCGCAGCCTCTTCGCACTAACCGAGACATTCTCGAGTGTGAAAGACCGCAACGGCGCATCTGGATGGACGAGAGATGGACATGACTTGGCAGTCATGTTCCTGCCGTCCATTTGGCCAGATAGCTCGACTGAGACAAGACGTCGGGCGTGTCTGAGAAGGCTGAAGATCGCGGTTGGCTCGCGCTCGAAGAGCGGCGATGCTGAGGAGGTGTATGAGAGTTGGATGTGGCGGAGGCGGGCTATCACGGGGTGAGGGATATGCTGTGCTGTGGCTGGATATAGAGTATCGTTGTCACAGTCGTAGAATTGAGGTGAGTTATGTTGGAAGTCGATTTCTTGGAGGGAGGGAGGGGGGTAGGCTTCTATACAGTGGACGAGGAGGTTGGCGAAGTGGCGGGAGAGGTTCTCTTGGTCTGGGGTGCCGTTTGGTATGGTTTGGTATTCCAGGCGGCGGAGGCGGACGAGGCGGGGGAGGGTGGTGGAGAGAAGGTTGATCCATTGTTGGATGGTGTCGGGATTGGTTAGGATGTGGTCCCAGGGAGGACGGCATTCGATGATTAAGGTGCGTATATATTGTCCGATGTTGCTTTGGTGGAGAACGTTCAGGTCGGAAAAGGGGCTGTTATCTGTGCTGTCTTTGATGTAGACAGTACAGGTAGTGAAGAAGGCACGAGAGGCAGCAGCACAGAATGACCGGCTCACCTGGCGAAGGGTCCTGAGGTGCCCCTTGCCATGGTATTTGGAGTTGGCTGTGGCGTAATCGGCAATCTGAAGCTAATGGTTACGATCTGAGTGGCAACAAGCTGCTGTACTGGAACTTACCCTCTCTTGGATCTCCAGGGGGAGGTGGATGGATGTCTGTGGCGTATGGGTAAACATTTTATGTAAATATACGGCAAGGAGTTGATTTAATAATACACTGATGATAGGTCTCTGGGATGGGAGAAGATGGAAGCCCCAGATTAGAAAGCGGGCGCTGATATATAGACCCCCAGGACTATGCTTATCATGGTGAGGCATGGATCATCTAGGGGTTACGTCCTGGAACGTAACGATGCAATGTCTGACTCACCCACTGAATGTTTTTCTGTTTCGTTGACGAGATGATGATGATGCGGACCCGTATTTGGTGCCGATTTGTACCTCATAGTGACTGGCAGTAATTGCATTCATGTCGGGGTTATGCTGGAGCCAGTATTGGATTTTGAGACATGCCGTGCATAGCAGATAACTATGATTGGATCTGCGAAGGTATGCTCCGGAACCATATGTTGTCTATAGTATATAGTAAGTTGGGACATGTGTTTGTTTCTGTCCCCCCAATGACGTGATAGATGGTTTTTGGTCTACTAGTTAGCGCGCCGGTATAGTGTAATTCTGGTGGATGAACAGTCCATATTGACTCCAAAGCAAGAATCACTGAAGTAGTCATATGACTGAGAAGGAAATAAGCAGGTGTTAATTTCTCAGAGGGTGGTCTGTGGGGTATCCAGAAAGACGTCAACAGCTGAACGCAGTATGTGACGCAAGAAAGGCATGTTTCGAGCGAACGCTCAAAGAAGTATTGATAAGAACATCGAGGTTCAGTTCAAAGAGTATATAAGGTAAGTTCCAAACAAATGTTGCTGCTGGAACGGTATCTCAAGTGGGTTAAATGGAAGAATTTGTGTTAGTACCATAAAGCAGGACAGTAAACAAAGAATGGCCAATGTTGCTGCGAATGTGGCAGATGAATATAATGCGTCCGTTGTAGGAAGTGCGTTCATAGTCTAGGCGTCATCATAGGATGTTATATACAACGGCTATCAGCCGCAAAACCTCAGTGGGTATATAATAGAAGAGCCGGTCCAGGCAGCATGTATACATGCTCAAGTTTGGGCTCGACTCGAGAATGTCGCGGGACTGACCGCAACATAGGCGAATGGACAGCCGTCCATTCAAATGGCCCTGGCATAACCCAGCGGCTTCCAACAACTGCAATAGACTCAAACAACTGATTGCTTTCAAGCCTCCTTGCGCGCCTTCATCTCAGCAATGAACTTAGCGCTCTTGCTGGTCGGCACAATGTAGATCTTCACCAACTCATCCACAACCTCAACCTTTCCACCACTAAGGATCTGTACCAATGGCACCTTCTTGCCAGCCCGGATCAAACCACCCGTAACCGTCTCCATGAAGCACTCCACCGTATTGATCTTGTACTCTCCCTTCTGATCCCACGGCAACGGGAAGATGTAGTCGAGGTGATCCTCGATCGAATGCATTTCGGAGAACGCCTTGATGAAATCCGTCTGCGCATCCATGTGGTACAGGAACACAGCCGGGAACTCAAGCGTACTTTCCGGCGACAGCGGATCGGGCGACAGTCTGATGCCCACGTCCTCCATCTCAGGAGGCTGATCTGTCTTGCGAGTACGGATCTGACGCGCCTTCAGCGCAACACTAAGCAGCGTCTTCTCCTTGCGCGTGCGCTCATCCTCGGCCTTCTTTCTCGCCGCGATGCGCTCAAGCACAGCCTTGCGCTCGCCGATCTTTCCAGCAACCATCTGAAGAGCCTTGTTGTTCGGATCCAGCTTCAATCCCCGGGATGCCACATCCTCCGCCTCGACAATCTTATCCAGCGAAAACAACGCCATGGCGGACCGATAGTACGCTTTCACGTTCTTTGGGTTCAGCTTCAGCACAGCTGCGCAGTCGAGGGTCGTAGATCGGTAGTTTTCTATCCACGTCAGCAACCTCACCCCCTAATTTAGGGCACAGTAAACCACATACTCAGTTCCAAATGACACAGCGCGCGATTAATATAGCACGCCTCCTCGACCTCCCTCCGCAACCGGGCCTCCTCCTTCTCATCCTCAGGCTTATCCCACTTATCCTCCTTGGCCAGCAAGACCGCAATACCCTTGGAGTAATGCTCCTTCGCATCAGCCCAGCGCTTCTCGCGAGCAGCTTCGTTTCCTTGTTCACGGAAGTTCTGCGCGACATCGCCGCGGGTACCCTCGTTCTGGAGCGCGCGGATCGCATCAAGGAAGGGGTTTTCGCCGTCTACCCACATACATACCCCGTTAGCCTATCATCCAGCTAAGATATTCCCGAAATTAAATTAAGAAGGAAAACTAACTCTCATCATACGCCTTGTTGATATCCGTCATGAACAGCGGCGTGCGGTTCAGGATATCCGCCAGCTCGTCTGTCGTGTGCGTGCTCACAGCCTCCATGGCAGGAGGCATTTGAGGTGCCATGGGGTCAGCGCCCGCATTCAGGTCTTTGAGGCGCTCTTCCTTGATGGGAATGGGGAGCTCCTCCGGGGGAGGTGGGGTGAATTCATCTTTGGATGCGGTCGCGGGGGGTTGTTGGGGCTGCTTGTTGACTTCGAGCGACTCGTCGTAGTCGTCGGGGAGTTCTTCTATTTGGCCCATTTTGGTTCAATGTGAGGTTATGAGCCTGAGAAGGAGATGTGTTCTGTTTTGGGGTGAGGGGGATTGGAGATGATCGTCATGGAAAAGAGGAATTTGCTGTTATCGGAGATGCAAATGATGCAAACTGGTGGGGAGGGGTTAGCCCTTATCTTATCTGTTGATGGATCAGGTATGGTTGATGGATGTGGTTGTTCCCGATGGGGTGCGATTGTATTTGTCAGGTAGCAATAATGTGTATTCTTCTCTTCTTTGATTGTAAATTAGTTCCTGCTGGTAGGTCGGAGATTGCCAAAGGGCAATGCAGTGTACGGCAGATGCCATCAATTCTAGATTATCCGGACACGACCCTACAAAGAGGATCGTTCATCTAGACAAGACCCCCCACAATGAATGAAGAGTGGCTACAAGACCAAGACATGGCAGACCAAGAATGATCAGGTGCAGTTGGTGCTAGCTGGTTGCGCAATCCTCCTTCTTAAGTCAAGTATTCTTGGGGAGAACACCTACTTGGAGGGAAACTTGCGATTTGGGGCGGGTTATATAACGGGAAGTAGAGAGGGTCAGGTGAATGAAAGCAATGAAACGATAGACGAGTCCTCAATCTCATTCTCTTTCAAACTATTGAGATTCATAATTTTATTCACTTCACATTACATTACTTACGGAAGCCACCGACACAGCCATCCCCATTCACTAACAGCTTCAATGAAGTCTCGTATGTCTTTCACATGTGTAACTTTAACCACCATGTCATTTGACCTCTACCATTACATTGATGGGAGTATCAGTCCAAAGTCCTCCATATATAGCGTATAGCAATGATTATAAAAGGTACCTTCGTGACACCCTCAAGTACCTGCTACTCCTTAGTAGTGAGCACATTATTACCACTCGGAACCCTAATATCACATCTCTTTGTTTCCCTTGTTTCTGCTGTGATACCTAGTATATCCCAGTATATCCTTGTGTTATATTAGGCTATTCAGTACCCCATTCACATCATCCGTCCCAGTTCTGTATCTGCATAGCCACACACACAACTGTGGCATTCACTCATGTCTCGCAACTTCCACCCCGTCAACGCCAACTCGCCCTCCACCACTACTCTCACCTCAGACCCCGACATTAGTCCTTCCCTTGAAGACAACAGCAACAATAATACCATCCTCCAACCCTACCTCTTTCCCCCAGGCGTGCCTACCAATACCAGCTTCAACAGCAACGATCAAACCCTCGTGGACAACTGCTCCAACATTGAGGTCTCACAACTTGTCACTGAGGCAAACCGCTTCTGGGGAAATTGCTCAACGACCATCCCCAACATCGAGACAGGTCCATCAGCTGCAGAATACCCAGCCACATACATGATGGGTAATTACGATCATGGCTATGGTGATCAAAGCATGCACGAGACATCCGTGCCATACGGACCGTGCGACCACTTCCAGGTGGCCGGGACAGGAATGGACATGGGAATGAGGATGACTGGTACGAAAGGAGAGGACGAGGATGAAATGTACGCTGCCAACCAAGCCTCCATGCTTGCTGCGCTGGGCATGACTCACCTTGATGAGGGAGAATCTCATGCAGTGGATGATGACGCCAGAACTTCGTCGTCAGTTACGGTTGACGATGACCCCGAGTGGAAGGAGTGGAAGGAGTGGAATGAGACGGACCCGAATGGGGGAGTTAGATTACCTTCGGAAGAGAGGATGGACCAAGCAGCAACACCCGCTTGGGTGGATATGGGTTGTGAGGAGAGAAAGACGAACGAGAGATTCCTGTCCTCGAGGGAGAAGATGGATCAAGCAGGCGTTGCTGCTTGGTTGGACATGAACCGTGAGGAGGACCACGGGGTCTTCCAAAATGATGAAAGCGATGACTATGACGAAGACGATACCACATCTTACGGATCCGACGATGACATGATGGAAATGGGAGAAGAGACGGAGTATGAGGAGGAGGAAGAGGAGATTGTCAACGTGGTCGAGGGCCCTTCAAGACAGGTTCTTATCAGTTCCCAGGCAGGGGCTGTTGCTGAGTACAATACAGCAAGCTTTGGATGTGACTTTGAGGTAGAGGAAGAAGAAGAAGAGCAACACAACGAAGAAAGATGGGGTGGAGAGGGACAACCTCGTCCGTCCCCATTTCCTTGCTTCTACGACGCTCGATCGGGGCTTATCATCGAGCTTTCCTCATCCGAAAGTGACGCCGAAGAGACCTTGTCAGATCCCTCTTCCAACAACGATGTCGAAGAAACAATGTCAGACCCATCTTCCTCATCCACCTCTTCCTCCTCATCACCAACCTCAGAAACCCCCCAAGCATACGCCCTCCCCTGGCCCACCTCACCGTCCAACCTCAGCACTAACACTACCACTACCACTAGCAGCACCAGCACCAGCACCAGTACCCTGTCAGAGATATCCCCACCACCATCATCACAACCCGTTCACCCCCCATCATCCACGCCCTTCACCCTCCTCGCCGACCTGCACACCAACCTCAGCAGCGCCCCGGACCACCGCGCCACACATCTCCGCAACCTAGCCAACGAAATCTCCAACACGATGTACTTCGTCAACAGCCGGACAATCTCCGGGGACTTCAGCGCGGAGGATGCAGCGCCCGTAGACCGGGTAATGCGGATCGTGCGCGAAGGGGAGTTGAAGATGCGGTACCAGGAGCGGTATGAGCGGCAGAAGGGGAAGCTGGTGAAGCGGGAGAGGAGGGTCGCGGAGCGGGAGGACCGCGTGAGTAAGAGGGAGGAGATGGTGAGTCGGCGAGAGATGGGGGTTGCGGGGTGGTGGGAGGTATGGAGGGAGAGGGGGAGGGAGGTGTGGGAGGGGGTGGAAGGGGAGATGGATGGGGGAATTGGGGATGGGGTTAGGAGGAATGCGATGGATACGTTGCAGAGGACGGTTAGGGTTACGAGGGAGGTTGTGAGGAGGATAGATAGGTTGATTGATGAGAGTGAGGTTGATGGTGATGGTGATTGTGATGTTGAGGGGGGAGTTGAGTTGTGAGTTGGAGAAGTAATTGCCAGATTGATTGATTGATTTATGGTTATAAGAGTGGACTTATGTTGGGTATTGGTGTTATGGCTCAATCTATCTATATAGTCTCGTCTATCAATCTAGATTAGATTGATTAGGATGACGATGACGACATTTTCGGAAGTACTTTCATCAACGAAGAAGAGGTAGTGCCGCGGCGAATTTAACAGGACAACTCACTGCTCAATCACTTAATCCTAAGCTAACTATGCAATCTACGTTTGCGTATACAAACTAACTAATAAACTAGTAGTAGCTGTAGTGTAACCCCCCACAAAGGTCACCAGCCATCTCAGTCGTAATCAAAAGCAATCAAGTATCAACCCACCGAGATAACACAACCACCGAAATCCGAGACTAAAGACGACCAGCAAAGAGATAAAAGGGCCAGATACCCACCTCCCTACTGTGTAAGCGCCAGGGGCAAAGTCCGATAACCGGTGTTGGTACTCCATAGAAACTTCTTCGAAGACCGTTGCCGTCCCCACTTATTCCCACTTTTTTTTTCTCTTTCCCACGTTGTAACTTTTTTTTCCCACCCGAGGTGACATCAGCTCAACGGTCAACTTTAATCCTGATTTCTGTTCAGGAAACCCTTCCCAAATCACTCTGGGAAGCCCTTTCAACAGGGGAACAAAAAGGGAGAGACGAAAGGGAAGCCTCTGGGGTGAACTTTACCGATTCTTCATGCATAGTGGCTGACGGCATACACTTCAACGGCCCGTCTTAGACAGCTGCTAATAAGCTTCCCGACGACGATCATCATTATGACAGATACAACCGCCGAGATGGCCTCCTCGGACAGTACACTCGAAGGCACACTTTCGCGATCCGAATCCATCCGCTCCGCCGTTCAGACTTTCTCGCCTCTTCATGAGCTCGTCTTCGTCTTCGTGGTCTGCATGTCGCAGTTCATGACGCAGGCCGCGCTCGGAAACACCCTCGCCCCACTTGAGATCATCAGCGACAGCTTCGGCATCACCAACCCTGGTATTTCCAGCTGGTTAATCGCAGGGTATTCCCTAACTGTCGGTACCTTCATTCTGTTCTTCGGTCGCTGTGGCGATATTTTCGGATACCGTATCTTGTATATCACCGGGTGGATCTGGTTCGCGATCTGGTCCCTGGTGGCGGGGGTGAGCGTGTATTCGAACTACATCCTGTTCATTTTTGCGCGCACCTTGCAAGGAATCGGGCCTGCGATGCTCCTTCCTAATGGCCTGGCGCTGCTGGGTGCGACGTACCGACCGGGAAAGAAGAAGTATATGGTCTTCTCGCTCTTCGGGGCTACCGCGCCAAACGGCGCCGTTTTGGGAGCCATCTTTGCGTCGCTGTTTTCCCAGCTCGCTTGGTGGCCGTGGACTTTCTGGGCCATGGCAATTTATTGTTTTGTATTGGCGATCATGTCCTTCCTTGCGATTCCTCCTTCCCCGTCAGTTGCGCAGGGTATGTCGCTTGCGCAGTTGGTTTCTGAACTAGACGTGGCCGGGGCATTCTTCGGAGTCGCAGGCTTGGTTCTGATCAACATCGCGTGGAACCAGGCGCCCGTGGTAGGATGGCAGGAGGCGTATGTATACATCCTGCTAATCATCGGAGCCCTGATTCTAGCCATGTTCTTCGTCTGGGAGATCAAGTACGCGGCCAAGCCACTCATCCCGTTCCACGCGCTGGATCTCGACGTCTGCTTTATCCTGGGCTGCATTGCATGTGGCTGGGCCAGTTTCGGCATCTGGGTCTACTACTTCTGGCGGTTCTTGGAGAATATCCGAGGCGTATCGCCGTTGCTGGCATCGGCGCAGTTCATACCGCCGGCCTTGTCCGGACTGACGGCCTCATTCACGACGGGACTCCTCATGGCGAAAATGCGGCCCGGCTGGATCATGCTGATGGCCATGGTGGCTTTCACCCTGGGTAATATATTTTCGGCTATCGCTCCGGTTCATCAGACGTATTGGGCGTTGTCCTTTGTTACGCTGTTGGTCACTCCTTGGGGAATGGACATGTCGTTCCCTGCGGCCACGGTTGTCTTGTCGAATGCAGTCGGGCGTCGCCATCAGGGTGTTGCGGCATCGTTGGTCACGACGGTCGTTAATTATAGCATCTCGCTGGGGCTGGGCTTTGCGGGCACTGTCGAGGTGCATGTGAATAACGGTGGCCAAACCTTCCATGATACGCTTAAAGGGTATCGCGGAGCCTTGTACATGGGTATCGGACTGGGTGGGCTTGGAGTTGCCATTAGTGTGCTCTATCTCATCAAGAGCAGACCGAAACCGGACCAGGAAGAGAATCAGCTGGAAAAAGCAGCTGAATGATTGTGTTTCATCATTTCGATAAGGATAGAGATAGAGCGTATATAATCCGGCGTGCTCATTATAGACATAGCCACAGAGCCCGCCTGCATAGTGGCAAATCCAAAATACTATTCAGTTAATAGATTAAATTGACACTCAACGTATGACAGATGAGCCACCATATTGCAACGGGATATGCGAAGGGGATAGCAGTCATTCCGGGTGATCTTATGGCCCTCGGCCCTCATTATTGCGTGCCCATAATCGCAAGTGCAAACCTTTCTATCGTTTATTTTCACTGCGCTGCTATTCGCATCACGCTAACTCAGAAACACACCCTCTCCTTATGGGCACTGGACAAATCAAATAAGTCTGCAGATGCAGAACCAATCAAGTGTGCTGCTCTGCATTGCTCGTGATCACTCGACAAGCCTAGAATTCCGTACGCCCGTCGAGGCGGGAGCAAAAACCGGGAATTCAAATTCCGAGGGTAACGGCAATTGATTCAACTGAAGGAGCCAGGATGGCGAGAAAAACACATCGGTGACCTCATTTCCTCCATCCAAGTGCTGGAGAAACCACATGGTCGCAATCTCCTCTAGATAGCAATGAGAATACCAGTAAATTGCCTCCCTTCATATGAAGATGGGTCGATTCATCGCTGCACCGTAGTGAGCGTCCAATCAGCGAATCCGATAAGCAATAATCGGACTGGGAGCGATAGTTCCAGCGAGTTCCCAAAGACGGGTCCAGTTCGCCGCCCTGGCGATGAACCTCGGCACTGGCACTGGCCCTCCATGAATTCGGGCCGCGGATCCACTGGTCGCCATCCCTTCATGTGTCTTGCCAACAAAAGGAACGCTCCTTATTTCGTTCTCTTTCCCTATCTCTGGTGATCATTTTTCTTCTCTCCTAATCCCTAGTCACCGTGTTCCTGTGCTGCAACCCTCCCGGAAATTCCAGCATCGCGTGAACAATTTTCACATCCCCTAATCCCGACCCACCGCACTACCCCGGACGACCGATCTATCGGCCGAGATGAGCAGCCCGGGCGATTACAACGCCGTCCGCAAGGACATTGTCGCACAGCTGAAGAAGCCAGACTATGATGACGGAAGCGCAGGCCCAGTATTTGTCCGACTGGCATGGTGAGTCACCTCCAGGCTGAATGTTATGCTTGTCAGTCGCCACTAACCCCTGAGCAGGCACTCCGCGGGTACCTACGACGCCGAAACCGACACGGGCGGCAGCAACGGTGCGGGCATGCGATATGAAGCAGAGGGGGGCGATCCGTCAAACGCAGGCCTTCAATACGGTCGGGCATTTTTAGAACCTGTAAAGGAGAAGCATCCTTGGATTACATACTCCGATTTGTGGACGTTAGCAGGCGTGGTGGCGATCAAGGAGATGGGCGGGCCGGAAGTCGAGTGGAAGCCAGGTCGGACGGACCTGGTCGACGACTCCAAGGTACCACCTCGTGGCCGTCTACCTGACGGTGCTCAGGGTGCAGACCATCTCCGCTTTATCTTCAACCGGATGGGCTTCAACGACCAGGAGATTGTGGCGTTGGCAGGAGGACACAATCTGGGTCGGTGCCATACCGATCGCAGTGGGTTCGAAGGTCCCTGGGTGAACAACCCAACACGATTCTCCAATCAATTCTTTAAGCTGCTATTAAAGTTGGAGTGGACGCCTCGGAAGTTGGCGAACGGCATGAGCCAGTTCGTATATGAGGATCCGGATGCGGAGGAGGGAGACGAGTTGTTAATGATGCTGCCCACCGATATTGCACTCAAGACGGACCCATCCTTCCGACAGTGGGTGGAGAAGTATGCAGAGGACAAGGACCTGTTCTTTGACCACTTTGCGAAGGTGTTCGCGAAGTTGGTCGAGCTGGGTATTCGACGAGACGAGAAGGGTGCTGTTCTCAACACCGACAATGTCAAGGGAGGTTATATCTCTGCTCCCAAGAAGAGTAACACGCCGACAGGACCACCGAAGAAGCCGAAGGCCGAACCTGTGCGGGCCAGGCTGTAAATACGCGATGGATATTTGGGAGGATCATTGATTTGATATACCATAGAAGGATTTAGAGGATTGGATAGAGACCGAAGCGTGTACACTGGCTAGAGTAATAAATCTCAAGTTCATTAATAATGAAGAAACGAAAGAGCCCGTCATTTCAAAGTAGTTGAGAGAAAGAAGAAAGCAAGGAGAGAGAAAGAAGCGAGGGAGAGACATAAAAGAGAGAAAGGGAAAAAAGGCCGGGGGATTCAATGAATGCGGGGAAAGGTCCATGCGCTGACTTTGGCCCGGCCGTCATTGGCTCCCACCGGCATAGCTGGCAACGCGTTCACCTTGAAACCAGCCCAGTAGCCGTGCTAGGTTACTCCATTCCATCCTTGACTAGTCGGGAGGCTAGAGGTACTAAAGCTGCTCGGTTATTGAGAGAAAGGGTTATTGTGCTGGTATGACCTAGTTCCTTTCCCCTTTTTATTGTTCCCCGGATTTCTGGACCAGGATCCGTTCTCTGAGTTTATATATGAACTACCACCGCTGAAGACGGCATTCTAATTCTACCCATGAAAGTATTTCGGACAGTACTATATGTCTTAGTTATTGGATCTGGTGCAGTAGTAAGTGCTTTTTGAATAAAGAAAAAAAAAAAAAAGTTATGATGTCTATGTTGTTTTCTATCTATCATTTTCTGAAACCCGAACCCAAGCTATAAGGGGAGAGTCTTAATCCATCGCTCTTCATTTTTGGTTGGCTAGCATGTCTTCATAGTCGTGGTGCGTCTGGCGGGGCTGCAGGTGAAGACCTCAGTGGCGAGGCCTATGGTGGCCGGGTCTATTCACCCAATTCTCCGGATGGGTTGGTGGTAGTTGTGGTTGTGGTAGCTGTGGTTGTGATCGCGGCGAGGAGGATTGACCCATCATAGTAGGCCCATGGCCACCATAGGCGCTGCTATTCGGGTTTGTCAGCTGCATTTGGCTGGTCATCGCCTGTACGACTTCATAAGAGGGTGGTGGATCGGTGGTCGGAATCCCCGGACTGTAAGCGACTCTCTGTTGAGGAAAGGCTACAGGAGAGGAAGCCAAAGACCCATGGAGAGCTGGATTATGGAGAGGGGGGTGTTGCCGAGCAGGACTGGCAGGAGGCACATGCCGATATTCCGGCCTAGTTATATACATCGGCCTGACCCTAGGAGGCGGTGGCATTGCACCACCTACATACGGTGAACCTGACATCATGATTGCAGGCGATGGCGTATCTGCTGACATGATCGGTGTGGGGCCCATGGACATAATCGCGTATGGATGAGCTGGAACGTAAGGCTGTGCTCGCGGTCCTCTAGGCCTGCTAGGTGCAGCCTGCTCTTGGCGTTGCACCTGGGCGTGTACCTGGGGTTGTACCTGGAGTTGTACCTGGGGTTGCGCCTGGGGTTGCGCCTGGGGTTGCGTACCGAGGACCAGCATGTTCCGAAGATCCGGATTGGCCCTTTTAAAGCGTATCATAATGTCAGGCAGTGTACTAGGTTCCCAAGGATATGGGTTCTGCTGCCGAGGTGGTAGTTCGGGCGGGGCCCAACCAGGACTTTGCTGGAGGAAAAGCTCACCCTGGGAGGCAGACTCTAGCATGCCGCTAACTGCACTCACAGCTACTTGGAGCTCGCCAAGACTCGGGTTCAGAACCTGCTCGTAGAAGAGCAAGGGGATCTGCTGATTCCTCCAAAAACGCTCGGGCACTTTGTCCGGGCCGTTTTCTGACATGGGAAGTCCAAGTATGGCTCCGTCGTGCACATGGCTTTCATACGAACACAGGTTCGTGCAGTGCACCCCACGTTCGGCACCATTCCACAAGAGGCACAAATAACCTGGTACTGGTGAGTATATCCCTCCTATCCAGCGGTATGTGACTCTCTGCCCCTCACCACCATCATCATGATATGATAGGGTAATGTCCTTTGTATGTGACCGTATAGATACATTAGGGCCGAGTTCCACTACCAGGCGCATGGGGACGTTATTGAATTGTCTCTCATAGTTGACTGAATGGTTACATTCGATGCAGGTTCTCTGGCGCTGAGGGTCAAATACTCGAGACAGCACTTCCTCCATACTCACGCCGTTCCGATCAGTCTCGAGCACAGGCGGTGCTAGAGTGGTCAAGCGGGTGCCATTCACAGTGGTTTTGCTATCCCTGGATGACCCACAATCACAGTGCGCAGTAGTCTTCTCATTGTATGAGTACGCGAACTGGTCAAACTTGCGCGTAAATTTGCGCCAGACGGTTCGCATAGCCTGAGTAGGCCCCGTGGCCTGTCGAGCATTTGCTGGGAGGAAACTAGCAAAGCATTCGACTAGATTAAGACTCGTTTCTCTATCGAGGAAATCCCATTGAGCATCGGTCCCTTCAATGAAGGCTTGGTCAATACCTGTGAAGCGATCCTGCCAGCCCGGCTGCTTGCGGTCGATGTTGGTGGACCCGGCATCTAGCAGTCGGCCTGCGATGATAGCACAGCCAATCGCACTTTCGCTGAGATTCGTGCTAACAGGGCCTCGTCCTCTATAAGGCCTGGTAATCCGGGGGCGTTGCGGGTTGCCTGGGGCGTGCAGCTCTACCTCAGCTGTTACTGGATGTAAGCTGTACTGGACATTGTTCATGGTATTTAAGTTGGCGGTCAGCCATGGTCGTGGCATGTCCAACGGGGCAGCAGTCTGATGGCGTTCAAGCTCGTGATAAGCAAATTTCATGACAGCACGTTGCACTGCCTCAGTAACTAACTGGGCATGCTGGTTAGGTAGTGGTTCTGCTCTCCGGAACTGCTGGGATGCAGAAGTTGTGGTGTTAGGGTCACTGACACCTTCGGTGTTGTGTTCACTTGGTCTCCGGCTCTCTGAGAAGCTTTCTTCATGCTGCGTAGCAGGGCTTTCGACTTTTATCGTATGAGTTGGTGTTCTGCCACCCGAGGAACATTCTTCCATAGGATCCCCCTCATCACGGTCAGAGGTTTCCTCCTCTTCGATGTCGGTCATTTCATCTTCGACTCCCTGGTCCTCAGGACTGGTTGAAGGGAGCCACTCTGTATGTTCGGATTCTTCCGAATTTTCAGTACTACTTTCCATGCATTCGCTTTGTTCTTCTTCCGTTTGATCCCCTTGTGGTGTCGCAAGTTCAAGAAGCTCTTCGTCGAGCCTACCGAGTTTATAGAGTTGCTTTTCCATAACCTTCACATACTCCTCCGGTATATCACCAGAAGACCTAACAGACCCACGGGTCCGTGAGTCTGATGCTTGCAAAACCCTTGGGGGATCAGGGGAACACCTACTTATGGGTAGGTAATTGTTCAAGCCCTGAACACACCCCTGTTTCAGCAATCGAGGGCCAGCGTCCCTTCCCCAGTTGAAGAGTTCTTCCACTGACTTGGGCTGGTGATATTCAGCTTGATTCCAGATGATTTTCATTAGGATTGCCACCTTTACCCGCCTTGGCTGAAGGGAAGAATGGGAATCAGTGTTATACTTATAACCCCAGCCATGAAAATCCAACAGCTTGTCGTATACGCCCCTGCCCCCGTTGAGCAGAATATCGGTCAACGTCTTGATGCGTTTTCCGCATAGTTGGTCTGTCTCGGCAGGCTCTTCGAGCTGGTCAACATCGAAGAGCGGGTGCCTACACTCGACATATTCAATTGGCTGTGAGCCTGACTCCATTTTGCTTATTGCTTCGAGGACCGTAAGTAGCTTTCCAGAGAGAATGCTTGGGTGAATGAATACTGATTATTTGGCTCTTGGATGGAACACGAGGCAAAGCAGCTGCTGATAGAAAATCTGGAGAGAGCGATCAATCTGCTTCATACTTATACCCCAGGGAAATCTCATGTTACACAGCGATGAAGACTCAGATATACTGAGCTTCACTGCAATATCCGTCATTTTGGGTGTATTTTCAAGGAGAGAACACTTTAGTTAGGCAAATTGTCAAGTACATAGTGCAATTTGACGGATTTGGCTGGCATATTCCTTGCAACCAGCCAAGGAGAATATAGGAGAAATCATTCTCAACAGGTGTTTCAAAATAAAGATATGGTCTGGAGGCATATTCCAAACACACCGGTAATCATATCACGGAGATATCTGCTAACAAGGCACTTGGAAAGATGAAGATGAGGTGAATCCCGTCGTACTGCGATGTTCTATATCATACATGCCTCAGGCAGGAATAAAATACTACACGGCTGGCATACGCAGACTACCGTACCAGAGCAACCAAATCACGTGCACAAGACAGTCAAGTGATAATATACCCTATTCCGGAATAGCCCGAAGCACAAGCGAGCCCTGAATCCCACCATACCCGAATAGGCTAGAGCCCAGCTTACCCGATCCCACAACGGGCGAGAGCAAAGTTGGAAGAAGCACTCGCAAGCCCGCCTCGATTTCACCTCCTTCTCATCCCTCTCGCCTGTCGACAATCAATCGCGGTCCTTCGCGCCATCGCCCATCATGTGTACGTGAAAGACCCTGAAATCGGATTTCCAACCCTGCATCTTTGATTTCCGTCGCTGTTCGTTTTTTGCCGGTCATTTTGGGAGGAAATATTCATAAATCGCTGAGGGGTTTTTGGAGGAAATTCATCATCGCGGATACAGACGGGCAGGAAACAGCGGCGACGGAATCATTGAATTTTTTTACTTGCTCCATCATCATCATCATCATCATTATGGCAACAACCGATTTTGCAAGACAGAAAGGCTGACTTCGGTTTTTTCTTCGGAATTTTTAGCGCTCGTGTCCGGCGAGAAGACGAACTTCCAGTACATTCTGCGTCTGCTCAACACCAATGTTGACGGTAAGCAGAAGATCATGTACGCCTTGACCCAGATCAAGGGTGTTGGTCGCCGTTACTCCAACTTGGTCTGCAAGAAGGCCGACGTTGACCTCAGCAAGCGGTACGTTTACACTACTTTCCTCGATGGTTTCGAACAAATGGGATGGAGAGGAGTTGGTCACACGGACACAATAAGAGGGGGGGGAAACAAGGGCCACGAGAAAACAGAGACCCCGAAGGGATAAGGGATACATACAAGAACACCAAGTTGACTTTGATATTTCTTACAGCGCTGGTGAACTCACCACCGAAGAGCTCGAGCGTATCGTCACCATCCTCCAGGCCCCCACCCAGTACAAGATCCCCACCTGGTTCCTCAACAGACAGCGCGACATCACCGATGGCAAGGACTCCCAGGTCGTCTCCAACTCCCTCGACAGCAAGATCCGTGAGGATCTCGAGCGCCTGAAGAAGATCCGCTCCCACCGTGGTCTCCGTCACTACTGGGGTCTCCGTGTCCGCGGTCAGCACACCAAGACCACCGGTCGTCGTGGACGCACCGTCGGTGTCAGCAAGAAGAAGAACTAAAAAAACAATCATCGGGGTCATATCATCTGCGTTTGTTTCTTCGTACTTGCTGGAGTGGATCGTGGGAAGGATGGATTCCTTTTGTGTATGTTGGTGTGGATTTTTTTAACGAAATCTTCCCTGGGACCGGGAACAATATTAGAAAATGCCGTGTCCGAAATGAAAAGAATCATACCAATATGAATGAATACCAAATCATCCTTTCCTCACATTTCTTTTTTCTGCTGTTTTACGATTTACGAATGTACGAGTCGCTTGGTGGCGAATTATGAGTAGGCTCTTATGGCTCGGTTTCCATGGGAGTGGTCTACCTTTTACTATCGACTGAGACGTCCATGCGCCTAGTTGTCGACTCTCTGAATCAATTTCGTGTTCTACACTACGTACAGACGGTATAGTACTAATTGAATGCGTGTAAATGCGATCGATTCATTCTCGTACGAAGTACAAAATGCATAATGCACTATAGTGACAAACTCATAGATACCATGCAACATAAGGCTCGGGATTAGTGGGCATTGACAAGCATCCTCAAAGTATCGTTAAGAAACATATCTGCAGTGTCACCGAAATGACCAAAGTCTATATGCGGTGATAGCACGTCTTTAGAACCATTCACCTCCCAACCAGCGGTTGAAGAACTCGAGACTCGACTCGGGTTGGTCCATCGGGACCATGTGGCCACCACCATAAAGACGCATGAAGGTGAAGTTGCCATGCGACTTGACCTGGCCGATCTTCTTGCCCTTGTGCTCATTCTCGACCACGACCAAGTCCTCCAGCTTCGCGGAGGCATATTCAGCCTGTCCGGGCCACTCAAGGGCTTCAGTCCAGGCCTTGTTGCCGAGCCAGTTGCAGATGAAATCGGCGTCACCGGCGTAGATCAGGACAGGGATCTGCTCCAGGAGTCCCGGAACGAGACGGTGGTAGGGCTTCATCCAGTCACCGTGGAAGAGGAAGTTGCGGTTGATGTCAAAGTTGCACGAGTCGTAGCCGTTGACCTCAGCGCCAACAGCATCAATGACCTCGGGCTTGTTCAGGTAGTCGCTGACGTAGCCCATGGCCGAGTAGCAAAGGTTGGAGCTATCCTCGCACTTACCACGAACATCGTAGACGTTCTGTCCGGTGCGCTGGTAAGGGGCAAGGAGGGCGTTGTTACAGTAGATGGAGGCCGGGACACAAACCCAAGCGCTCTCGGAACTGTAGCAAGATTCAATCATAGACTGGCAGCGAGGAAGGGCATTGTCCATGGCCTGGCAGGAGCCCTCGTCCAAGACAGCTGGGTAACCACCGTCACCACAGGCCATGGGACGGTAGTACTCGTACTGAGTGAGTCCGTCGGTGAGACCGTTGCCAATGAGAACGGACTGCAGGTTGATGTTGCGCTTCTTGTGAGACAAAATCTCCGAAGCAAAGACGGGGATATAGTGACCAGCATAGGATTCACCGGCAATGTGGAAGTCCTGCTTGGCATACTCGGGGAATTGTTTGAAGAAGAGGGTAAGCAAGGCATAGACGTCCTTGCCAGCAGCGACCGTGTCACTGACAGCAGAGTTGCTGTAGGAGTAACCGACGTTGACAGGCTGGTCAAGGAAGATCACGGACGCGTTGGAGTTCCAAGCGTAGTCATTGTAGACCGGCTGGATCTTCTTGTTGATGCTGCTAGGGCCGAGCTCCATGAAAAGACCGGTGAGGGAAGAGCATCCAGGGCCACCATTCAGCCACAGAACAACAGGGTCGTTCTCGGGGTCATTGCGAGACTCAAAGAACCCTACAATGCGTTAGATATGAAGAGCATATAAAAGGCGTGGTCTTGAACCCAGGTGGACTTACAGTAGAACAGGTGCTTGTCGTTCTCGTTGTCATCGAGATAACCGGTGTACTGCTTTACACCGGGGTCGATGCCAAGAGAGCTAGGATCGGTCTTCTTGACCCTGAGATCATAGGCTTCCAGCTTGCCATCGACCTCACGCTCCTTCTCACCGTTCTCACCAGTGACCCAGACGCTCTGGACGTTGGAGCCACGGACGATGTGGTCCCAGTGGTGGTCGGGGCGGCGGTTGTGCTTCTTGGGGAGGGAGAAGAGAGGGTTCTGATCCATGCTCTCCGGGAAGAAGCTAGCAACCTCATCCCAGAGCTTACGAGCCTCATCAGAGAGAGTCTTCAGCTCCTCCTGGAATGCGTGCAGCGGCTTGGAGAACCCGTCGGCACTGTGATCCGCAGGGACCTCGGCCGCATGGTCGGCACCGTGCTTGGCACCGTTACCTCCAAGGACCTGCTGGAAGGGAGGGACGGCCGCAGTGGCCGCTCCAACCAGCATAGCAGCTGGAAGAACTCTCATTGTGCTGAAACCCAACGGGGTTGGTAATATTTCCAGATGACGATGGGATGAGTAGGTAGAGGATGGGTACCTTGCGGTCTGGAAGGTACGGTACCTGGGCAGGGAGCTTATCAGCACGGGTTATCAAGGGAGGTGGTCAGAGGACACAGAAGTGAACTTACAGACACAAAAGTATCAAGTTAGAAAAAGCAAGTAGCTCAGCAAATACCAGCTACTGGGTGATCAATGGAAACCCAGAAGAGGATGGAGAGGAAGGAAGGAGAGAGGAGAGAAGAGGAGGTGTACTGGATGGGCTGCAGGCAGGCAATGACGCCTCGATAGCAGGGACGGAAGGCGACCAATCACAGGCCGGTGCCTTCCCTTTGCAGAAAGTCACGCGCTGAGTCATGTAGCTGAGTCAGCGCATGGCACGGGACCAGCGTCATTGCGGTTTCCTCCAATCACAGGCCCGTCGGGTGACTGCCTTGGGCTGTCAACAGCATTTTTTTCAGCGCATTCAAAACAGAATCTCCTCACTGACGCAACTGGAGATCGATCGACTCCATATTACACTTTGGTTGAGTCTGTGTATACACAAAAGCCTCTTGCTTTGTCGCAGAGGCCTCCAGCAACATGCCCATCAACCAACCATCAAATCAAATCAAATTTACCAATGTATCAGTCGTCAGGCTAAAAAAGGGTACGTACTGTTATACATGTGTGACCCTTCATTTGCGATCGTCTTGCGTGGCATGTCTATCAGTTATGTGGGGAGATGATGCGCAGATTCAGGCGTAGAATGAAAAACTTCCTGCGAAACTTCCAATCGGCCCCGCAACCCCGCTAACCGTTCAACAAACAGGTAAAAAGCGCTTCGAGCTCGCCTGCTACAAAAACAAACTCCTCGAATATCGCTCCGGAGCAGAGAAGGACCTCGACAATGTTCTCCAAGTCCCCACGATCTTCCTGTCCGTTTCTAAAGCGCAAACAGCCCCATCCGCCGAGTTAACAAAGGCCTTCGGCGCCGACACACCTGCAGATGAGATCCGGCAAGAAATTCTACGAAAGGGTGAAGTGCAGGTTGGCGAGCGCGAGCGGAAGGAAATCATCGAGCGAGTGGAGAAGGAAGTGTTGGATATTGTATCAGGACGGCTGGTTGACCCTACGACGAAACGAGTCTATACCCCCGGAATGATCTCCAAGGCCTTGGACCAGCTGAGCTCGGCTAGTGGTCAACAATCGCAAACGCCCGGCAATGGCGAGACGGATGGGGATAACAGCGAGGAGAGCCGCCCGCGGAAACCGCTCTGGACGGGTGTGACTGCCAACAAGTCCGCGAAGAGTCAAGCGCTTGAGGCCATGAAGGCGCTTATTGCATGGCAGCCTATTCCTGTGATGCGGGCGCGGATGCGTCTCCGCGTTACCTGTCCTGTGTCGTTGTTGAAGCAAAGTGTCAAGGGTGGTGCGGCCGGCGGTGCTGGCGCGGGTGGTAAGGAGAAGGAGGCGCCATCCAAGGGCGGCTCCAAGTCCAACAAGAAGGGTGGAAAGGGGTCCAAGAAGGCCCGTCAGCAGGAATCCGAGGATGAGGCGGGTGGATCTGACGCAGAGTCCGCGCCTGCCAAGGGCCCGAGCAATGTTAAGGATAAGATCCTGAGCTACATCGAATCTATCGAGGCTCAGGAGGTCGTCGGCGGAGACGAGTGGGAAGTCATTGGCTTTGCGGAGCCGGGAGCTTTCAAGGGACTGAATGAGTTCGTGGGTAACGAGACCCGGGGCAGAGGACGCGTGGAGGTGCTGGATATGACGGTGACCCATGAAGAGTAAGCTCGGCCGGGATGCATCTGGCGCAACCATGTACAGCCTGCTATGATTGATGACTAGGAAGGATACCAAAATTATGCCATACATATGACCATACTACAAGACTAGATCCAAATATATCATGATAAGACCATATACCTAAGGTTCATAACAAAGCCAAGGATCATCATAGAGCTCCTTCGCACTCGACCGACACTCCGGATCCCACCGAAGCATTCTACGAACAAATCCAATAAACAAGCGTCTATCCTCCCCATGTAGAAAGGGCGTCATATTCGAGAAATTGAATCCATCCGACGGAATCAACCCAGGGAACTTGAACGTCCCTAAACACATATCCAACAATTAGCATTCACAGCCCATCACAATCACCAGATATAACATACCCTGAGCTGAAAACAAGCCATCCCGTACACACGGATCGCATTTATCCAAAAACCGTGAAGGAGGAGGTCCCAGCAGCCTAATCATCTGCGCGACATGCACATCCCTGGAATATTTCCCTTGGTGTTCACACAACCCATCAAATAGCATCTCATCAGCGAGAAGTTCCCAAAGCTGCATAGCAATAGCCGTGAGTATACATCACGACGAAGCATGATCTTCCGACTTACCACAGTCCCCAAATTCCAAATATCCGCACTATACGACCACCCAGCCTTCAACAGAACCTCAGGCGCGCAGAATGGTTGAGGCTGAATGTCATGATTATGCGGAGTCAGTACGTTCCCGAAAACGGCAGCACTGAAGTCGGAAATCTTCAGCATACCTACTCCTTTTCTCAGTGGCCCGAAGTCGTTCCTAGATTCGTAAATAGGACGTCCGTTTCGGAGTACATGGGGAGCGGGATGAGCTTCTTGTTGGCGGACATAGTTGTCGATAATAGTGGCATCTTCGAATCCGATGAGGAAGTTATCGGCTTTTAGGTCTGCGGTCTGTTAGTAGATAGGATACTACTATTGAGTCGATGGTTTGAGATATGTACCAGTGTGTATGACATGACACTCAGAATGCAAAAAATCCAACCCCCTGAGTATAACCCTCAAGAAAGCTTTCAGAACCTGCGGAGGCACCCCGTTCGTACTTCCCAGATGTCGTCCAAGAACCCAAAGTGGCTCTCTGAGTGGCTCGAAGACCAAACATAGATGATCTCCAAGGATACCTTGTACTTCAAACGAATCCTTAACAAGTCTAACATACGCACGACCTTCATGCTCAGACCGTAAAGTGGAAATATGCTGCGATATTCTCAACTCATCCTCCGCGGCTTTCCTCTCCCCCTCGCCACAGTTCGTGATCTTCAAGGTTACGTATTTGGTTGATTGCCAGGGCCAGCTTTGGGGGTGTTAGATAGGTATCTAGAGTGTGCTCTACTAATATATGGTACTATGATGTGTCACTGACCGAGATATATCCTTCGCTAACCACGCGGTGGAATTAGCACCCCATCCTAGTTTGGAGATGATACGGTATTTGTTCCCGATGGTTTCTCCGATTCGGGCGGGAGAGTATTTCTTGGGGTTGTAGTGTGGGTTGCGTTCTTCTTCTAGTGGGTAGGTTGGGGAGATAGTCTTGAAAGATAGTGGTTTGCTGGGTTTATGGTACAGGGAGCGGAGAGGTTTGTTGATTGTATGACGAAATAGAGTCATTGTGTAAAGTTGATAAGGTGCTGTTTACTGCATACATGAGAACTACAGTATGTAAGACGAGGCGGGAAAAGGCGGTGCCGGGATAATATTGCGAATCCAACATGCCAACGAAGAATGAGAGCAAGGGAGACAGACCTGAATAAAGCAGTAGGGATTATACTGATGAGCCAATCGGTACATATAGTTCGATATAGTACTACGCAATGTCTTATCAGAACAAGGAAGACATGATCTATTCAGTATTCAGAGTATCGATTGTGTTCCGCGTTGCACGCCAAAATGTATACATTCTAGACTTACGCATACTTACTTCGATTTAATATGTTCCGCTACATCATCACGCAGCTAGAACAATGTCCTTGACCACACAAGTAAGCAGATACTAAAAGTTTACCAGTTGACTTCAACACATCTTTAAACATCTCTACCCAATCATCCTGGATCTATGGCTCACTGAGTCACCCACCACAACAGACACAACCTAATATGCAAAAGTACGAGACAAGAAGTCACCAAGCCAGCCAGATATTTTGCAATCCATCCAGCATATGCAAACTACAAGCAAGATGAGCAAGAAGGTAGACTACTGTAAGTACCCATCAGCTGAGCCATGCCATCAATAGTAACCCAGCTAGCTACATAATGGGTACAGATTAACTTCGTCAGCGCAGAAGCAAGGACCAGCAGGTAGCTTGGGAAGAAAGATAAGCAATTTTAGATGCATGCATATGTATTTCTATCACATCTCGATAGTTATTCTGAGATTGAACTGTATGATCAGTTTTCGACTTTTATTGAAGTAATACTAACATTAGTTTTCTACGCTAGTGTCCACCTGGGTAACCGTGTAGATATATACCATTGTTACTAGTAAGCACCAACTACTACTACAAGAAAATAGTACTAGTAGTACTAGTATCCAAAGAAAACAAAATAAAACCAAGCCTCTGCACCCCAGAAGCAACTACTGACATCCACCTCACCATCCATAATCCAGTCTAGTCCAGCGATCTGAGCAGCAATACTACTACTAATGCACGATCACCGTCCACCCACTGCACAGATCATCATCCCTCACCCCTCCTTCCTCATCCAGCCAGCCTCCTCACCCTCACACTCATAATCATCAAATCCAATACAAAATAATACAAGTAAGAAATATAGAAAAAAATCATAGCCAAGCAAAGTAAAGCCACACCTACAGCCTAGTAGAAGAAGCACAACAAGAAGCAAAGCGAAGCAAGCAACAGCAAAATTCCCCCCGACCCGACCATCCCGACCGGACCCGAACGAACACAGACAGCCCCTCCAAAGTCCCAAGTCCCAAGGCCAAACACACTATTAACAGATCAAATCAAACTAGTGCTTTGCGGCACCGTCGATCAAACCGGTCAATTTACTCCGTAGTACGTAGTAAGAAAAGTAAACCATTTTCTGTTAAAGAAAAGAAAAAAAAAAAAAGAAGGAAAGTCAAAAGTCAAAATCCAAGTTGGCTGAAGTATCCGACCGATGATCGCAGTCTGGAATGTCTTGGCGGAGAGGGTGAAATCATTTTCCCCTGCTGTTTCCTTTGAACCCTGACTGATTGACACTACTCCAGGATTGGCTTTGGCGTTGGTGATGCGTGTGTGGCGCGGACTAGGAGGGATGATTGACGAGGCTTATTGTCGATAGTGGCTTGATTTATGGGGGTACTTTTTTCTTGATTACTATTGCTTATTACTTTATTGCTTTTCTGGGAGTGAGGCGAGGTGGCTCACTACTCACTACTGTAATCTACTTATTCCGAACACTACGCTATTTGACGGGTCTTTATTATTATTTCTTCATTGTGTTACCTTACAGTTAGATAGGTACATTAAGTACAAGTCGGGTCAGTGGCCGGTGGGTGAATCCTCGGTGCTAGTAGTAGGCACCCACTAAGGCACCAGCACACATGACGGGTTGGGAAAACCAAGCAACTCAGTTGGATGGGTATACGCTTAAACGCAATGCACGAAGCACTCAAAGCACAAAACAGACGCTTTTCGAACGTTGCTCGTTTCATGCGTGGAAAGGACCGACTCCGTCCAGGGCAGATGCAATAAATCCCAGACGCCCCTCACGCCGGATTTGCATATGTAGACTGCGTCAGCCGTCGGAAAATGGCAGCCTTGAACACGACCGGGTATTCAGTGCCGCCTTCTGCGACCCACGGCGGGAGGGTTCGAAGAAGGTAAGATGCTCACACCTGTGTCGCATGATAGATGTTAAAAGGAGAAAGGTGGAAATGGATGGCGGAGTCGGAAATAGAAAAGAAAGGGACCATTGTCGATAGGGTCGGCATCCCTATTGAGTTGGCATCACGCGATAGGGGAAGCGAAGATCTTGCCGGAAGTCGGAGCGAATTAAAAAAAGGTACTATGAGCAGATCTGCACGGCGTTCAACGCCCGTGTCAGCTCCTCCGGTGAGAATGGCATGTAACACCCCTTGGGCGACAAGGGGGGCGGCGAAATCGCTCGTACAGCCGGGGAAGTGTAGCGGATCGTTTCTTTCAGCTGGGCGATCGAGTCAACCTGGTCGAAGTCGGCAAACAGAGTCATCAGGGACTCGCTGTAGCTTTCAGGCTCCACGGCTGTGGATGACGATGAGCCACTCTCTCCTTGTCGGCCGCAGGCGTATTCGTCATGATGAACCGAAGGGGGATCTAGTGATTGGTCAGATGGCTGATCGTTACACATGGCATATTTTATGATAGGTCCAGGGCTGGACAACATCCAAAAGGGCTGACGAAAGGAAGTATCCCACATACCAACTGTCACATCTACTTCGGGTCGTACTGTTCGAATCTGATCGGGGGCGAGGTCGTCGGCGGCGTCTTCTTCGTACCGCGCTCTCATGAAATCCGGTATGGACGCACAGGGGGAGAGGCTGAGATCGGGAGTACGAGGGCGTTCCGCTTGGGCGTCCCCAAACGACCATGCTGCAAGTTTCCGTTGATGTTCCTTGTCGAAAGGGCCCTTGAACTTCGACCGAGGGATTTCGCCGCGTTTGTAGTATTCGATCTTGATTCCATTGCCCTTGCCCTTGGACGAGGACCCACTGCTGGACCGGCGGAACACCCTCCGCACCTTTTCTCGGAAACTCATGTTGACCGGGGTGGAAAAGCCAGGCGTTATGGTGGTGTATGGTGTCGATATGTGTGGAAGATCGTTGTGATAGGAGGGGTTATGCGTTCAACCGTCGACTCAAGACCTCAATGTTGCATACCTTTCCCGGGGAGGGAATGGACGCGAGGGAGGGTGTGCAAGCACAGACGACAATCGAGTAGGTCCAGAAACCCTCGTATCATCGTTTGCCTAGACCAAGTGTGGGGTGGAGAGGAGAGGGGGGTGGAGGGGAGAAGAGGGGAGAGTAGAAGAAAGGAAGAACGAAGGAAGGAAGAAAGAAGAGGGGAGAGTAGATAGTGAAGTAAGAGAGAGACGAGAGGAAGGAAGGGCTAGACTAAAGAGTAATTAAGGAAGAGAGAGAGATATGATGGGGATTATGTCAAGGAACTAATGGAGCAGCAGTCCCAGATAGTTAGAGAGACAGCACGACTAACTGGGAGGAGTAATCGGAATCAGCGTCCATACCTATGATACAATGCGATGGGGAATTAATTACTCGTAGTTCGAAGTGGAAGGGATCTGATTGGAACGAGCGGTGCGAGGCACCATGCCGTTAGTTCCATACCACCACGACGGGGCTCCATCCAACGGAGTAAACGGAGTAAACCATTCCCAGAATGCACTGGGGCGGCCATTGACTTACCGGTTGGTGACTTATCATGGCTCGCTTGACCTTACTTTTTGCTCTGCACAGGCCAAGGTAACCTAACCTAACCCCACGGCTCTGGGAGGGTTGGGACTTTCTTGGGAGGGTAAGAGAAAGAGAGCCGGTAACTGGGTAAGCCGCGATTACCTGCGGCCAAATCCGAGGCGTGAACGAGAAACAAACGCCGAACGTGGAGGATCCACCGGGGGGTTGCTTGAGCCAGGAAGGAGGGAGAGAGGGTTGTGCGTGAATTTCCCAAGCTTAGCCTGATTGTTCTTAGCCGGAAGACAGAATGGGGAATGAGACTCGGAGTGTAGCAGCTTGTGCAGTAGTTGAGTTAATTATTATAAGTCTTGGGGTTTTATGTCACTCGACGAAGGAATATGCTAGATCATAAAATTCCATGCTTTGAGGGATAATAGTAAAATAACTTATAAGTGTAGAAATACAAAGAAAATGACTGACAGGATGGCAAAGAAAGTCTTCATCGTCATCATCACCAGTCAACTTGTTCCCCCCTCCCGTCCTTAAAGCGGGACACAACCCAAACATGACATTTTTCGTTAAGCATTTTCCATAACGAAATATTTCCCTCATTCTCATTCTTTTCCGCGGCGCTTCTGCAAACCCGGCCATAGAGTGCCGAGTCCCGATTCTGCCTTTCCCAGTTAGCCTAGAGATGACTAACCCCTTGATTCTGAACCGTACTGTAAACCTGCCCCCCCTCCTTCGGTGTGGCCCTCTTCTTACTTACCTTCCAATCAAACGTTCATCGGAGGAGGTTCACCGTCGGGTTGCATCGCCAGAACAAGGTACTACCTTAAGCCCAAAACAGTCCTATCTAAACCATGGTTTTGGATGCGCCAACCTCCCAGACCAATTTCCGCATTACGAGTGGTCGGGAAGTTACGCATCCCCGGCCGAAGAAAGTCAAGAGGGTGGTAGGTAGTAGTAAAACTCTGGGTTCTCTTTTCCCACCACTCTCATGTTAACTTACACTTTCCCCCAACATGTTGCAGGGCTGGCCGGCCAGCCGACGGACTGGGGCTGGGCTTCGTAAGATTGCTGCAGAAGACAGGTGTATATCACGGTGTACTATCGCCCAGCCGGCAGGACTTGCATGATGGTGTGTGAGTAAGTGCGTGTGTGGCAATGGCAAAAAGATCAAGCAAGGTATCTGTCTGTCTGTCTCTTGCTGTCGTGGTCTTGCTGCACCGAACGATTCCAGAAACACAGCCAAGACGGTCCGATCTACGTGCCACCACCGACCGACTCGAGTCAAGCTGCATCTTGTTCTTCCCATCGTAGCGATCGGGATGTAACCCTGCGACTCCCCCGGCATCAATCATCATTCGTTCCCTCACGGAGGCTGGAATCTGGATGCTTCTTTCTGTTTGCTGTCGGATGTAGATAGGCTGGGGGGCGCCAGATGACTTGGTAGTAACTATCCCACGTCAGTCGCCGGAACCGAGAACGGTGCGGTGCCACTGGGACAGAGGTTCTCATCTCAGACAAGTAACTAGTACGAACACAGTAGCAAACGGTTTGACTAATGAGATAAAGAACCACCCATGGACGATAAGTAATTGCACGAATGATATCGCTGGCATAATCATGGATTCCGACTGCCCCGCTGAAGGTGGTTCGGAGTCGCCCCCACTCGGCACGGTACTTCCGGTGACCAAAACGGCTATTTTTGACTCATATAACAAATTTTCACATTCATCTTTCATCAAATAGGCCTGCTGGCCCAATGGTAAGGCGCTTGACTACGGATCAAGAGATTGCAGGTTCGAGTCCTGCGTAGGTCATTCTTTTTTGCCCCCAATCCTTCTTCCTCTTTACTATACCTTCCAGGGTTATGCCCAAGTGCCTACCCATTTGATATATCTTTTTCTGCCATCGTCAGGCACGCAGTATATGGAATCATACAACATAACCCAACAACGAACTGAAACTTAAAAAACTGTGTGAGACGCAAGGGGTTCCAGCCAAACCTGGCACGTTGTTGGGCCGTCACCACACGCTCGGCGTACCGTCAACTAACTAACTTACGCCCTCCCTTCTATGATGTCATTATGGCAGCGCAACTCACCCCCGGGTTTTGCCTCCCTCCTCTCCCCAGACATCCTTCCAAACTTCTTCGGGCATGTATACATGTTACATACGTTCCCGATAGTTTGGGGCGCAGAGGAAAGACGTTGAGGATTTGGCCACTTGTCATCGGTGAGGGATGCGAAGTACACAGTACTAAGTAGTGGCCACCTTGCGCTGCCGGTTTGGGCCGTTTCAGCTCGAGCTACTTAATATATACTAACTAGACGTTTCTGTGATGGGTTGTGTCATATGGAGGCACGTGATACTACTATTGTTGGACTGTATACAAGTGTACAGTGTCTATTTCAAGCAGCTGGCTAAGTCTTGGCTTTCACTACTGAATTGGTTAAGGATACGACGGCTGGCATGTCGACCGGAAACGGTTCCTAAACCTTTCATTCCCTGTCCGGGTTTGGCCGATCCTGGACCCGACGGCATGCCTCATGATGCAATCGACCGATCGAAGACGGGCGCGGGTGTCACCGTACCTTCTGCTTCTACAAAGTACCTACAAGTAAATCATAGTAATGGTTGATTGTAAACTGTATAGTGTAGCAGCAGACTCGATTTTGTGGATTGATTAGTATCCTGATAGTTTGGTTAGTGGTCAATAGATATCCTGCAAGTTCGACCTCTCATTAATTGGCTATATAGAGCCAATGCAATGAATGCATAAAGGCATTGTACTCCATACGTATGTAGTAACTCCGGTCAAGTGAGACCTTGCCTTGTGCGGACGGCTCGCCTCGGATAAACTCAGGTCCCGTCGGGGCGGGATGGGATCGTCTGCAAGCTTGAGAATTAGTCCGCTTAACATGGCTTGTTAAGCCCCAAGCTGCAGGTACAGTTCCGACTCGCCGGAATCAGGGGGATGTGCGCCAGCTCCAGCTGCCATACTGCTTGCTTGACACTCAATCGCTTCGTAATTGCCATTCCTGCCATTTCTGTAGAAGCCGCAAGCAGCGCATGAGCTGGGTTCGGTCTGGTGCAGAATAGCAACTGCCATCATGGCTGGCCAACATGATTGTTGTTTCTTTTGTAGTCATGACTGAGAGCAGGATGTTGTTGAAAGGAGATGAAGGAGGATTTGTAGGGATTCAAGCCGAGCCCATGGAAATGCGCCTGCAGGTAATAAACATCTGCAACCCTCATCCACGCGCAATTCAACCCATATTTGGATCCGCGTGCACTGTGTCCCTTCCAATCTTACCCTGCTGTCCCCTTCGACACGACCCCATGTGACCGCGGCGTAACTTTCGCCCTCGTTTGGATTCCCCCGCTCCCACAAGCATTCATTCACAGATTGTTCCTGTGTGTCTGGCGCCAGCTCAACTACAACACGCGCTACAGGTCTACCTACATTGAATTGCACTGGTCGCGTGCAGCTTGAAATCAATCCAAGCGCCGGTGGTTCAGTGTTACCCGCAAATTAATTGCACCTTGACCCGGCCCTCCACGGATTAACGTTCCCCGAATCGATTTAGGCAATCGGAAAGGGCCACAGGGCAACATACCAGACCAGCCCGCCCCTAACTTCCCACTTCATCTGCCGTTGGTTCTTAATCCCCATTCTCGGAATCGCACGACCTCGACGTTTCGCATCCACGACTCGTGTCCATTCCGTTCGCACAGACTGTAGGTTTTGTCCACCCACTGCTGAATTGACTCGTTGTCGTCATCGCCAGTGCACTAACAATATTGTTGCTGCACAGGATAATCCATCACAATGCCTAAGAAAGGAGGAAAGAACAAGAACAAGGGCAAGAAGAGCGGCGGTGCTGCCGCTGCCGCGAAGAAAGCAGTCGATGCCCCCAACAATGTGTGAGTAGAACTCAATCGCACCCGCAATTGTGCTGTTGTTTCGTCATCGCAGTCTTGTTTCGCACAATGACACTGACATTTTTCTCTCCGGAACAGTGTACCAGCCAACGAGGTCGAGGAAACAGTCACCAAGAGCGACAGTGAGCTCGAAGCTGTCGCTACCGAGGCAGGCGTCACTGACACCACTGCGCCTGAGGCTGTTGTCCCCGAGACAGTTACCAAGGACGAAAGCGAAGTTGAAGCCGTCGCTGCTGGTGCCGACACTGGTGTGACTTCAGCGCCCGAGACCACCATCCCTGAGACTGTCGCCAAGGGTGAGAGCGAAGCCGTCGCTGCCGAGACTGCTCCTGCAGTGACTGCGGCACCCGTGGCCACCGTTACTGACACCGCCGCCCCGGTCCCCGCGCCTGCCCCTCCGGTCAACTTCACTGAGGAGGCCTCAAACGCAGTCAATACCGCGTTCCCCAAGATAAACGATGGCATCGTAGAGGACGCTGCGCAGCAGACGAAGACTTCTCAGGCGGAGACAGTGGAGGAGGGCACGAGTAAGTAACCCAATGGGTGCGCATTTGCGCAGGGCTGATAGTTTGCTGACAACGTTCGTCACCAGCTGTACTACCTTCCACCTCCACCCTTGAAGCTTCCAATGCGGATACCACAACCCTGCCTGTCAGAACCAGCACCCTCGAGCCCGAGACCGCCGATGCCCACGTGAAGCGCCCCTACGAGAGCAGCATCACCACCAAGGAGGATGACCACAAGCCCCACAAGATGCCCAAGGTGGAAGATGAACCCGTCATTGCCACCGAGAAGGCAGCAGCCGCAGACACTGTTCCGGCTCCTACTGGCACCATCGTGCAGCCACAGGTTGTCCCGGGGCTTGGTGCTGGCTCCGCTGATAAGGCGTCGAAGGACTTGGAAGTTGCCGGACTTGCCGCGACGGACAAGGATGCTGGAGCTGCGTCCAGCACGACAGTACCTCAGACTACCGAGGCCGTCCCGGCCAAGGTTACCGAAGCCCCGTCCAGCGCGGCGGCTGACACCACCGCTGTCGCCCCAGTGGAAGCTTCTACCAAGCCCGAGACTGCTGCAGCCATCGCTCCCTCTGAAGTACCTGAGAGTACTGCCAGCGCTAAGCAGACGTCCGAGTTGACACAGCCGGAGCCAGCAACGGCGACCAAGGCCCCGGCCGCAGCCGCAGACAGCGAGCCTATTGCGGTTGTTCCCAGCACCATCATCAGACCCTCTGGACGTGACAGCAAAGCAGCGGATAAGACTGTGGAGAACACTGCCGCACCCACGGCCTCTGAGGCTGAACAGCCCCTGAAGGTTGCGGAAGACAAGGAGCAGGCGACCAAGACACCAGAGACTTCCAAGCGCCTCAGCGCTGTCCCCTCTACGACCAAGGACACGAAGCCCCAGGAGGCCCAGAAGACCGAGACCTCGGCCACCCAAGGAGTTTCGTCTGCACAGAAAGAGGAAGGCGCTGCTGCCCAGAAGGCCGAGGAGGTCAAGTCGGAGCCTCAGGCGGAAGGCACCTCTGCTGCTAAGCCCGAAGCCGCTCAAGCCGGACAAGAGACCCAGCAAGCGGGCGCCGCTGCCCCGAAGGTTGAGGAAGGCAAGACGAGCGTTGAGCAGGCCAAGTCCGAGGCCGTCAAGCCCCAGGAGACTGCGAAGTCGGAAAGCAGCAAGGCCGAGAAGCGCAAGAGCGGACTTTTCGCCTGGCTCAAGCGCAAGATCAAGGGCGAGAAGAACTAGAGTTCTGCCTCGTTTCTCTGTGCTTTTCCTGCCGGAGGTGTTCTCCGGAATGAACTTTTGGCTCCTTTGGCGAGCGGTTGCCGGCCCAGGAGCCCATATTGCTGATACCCCAACATGGATGATTGCATGGAGTGATGGATATTAAAAAAGCAAAACACAAAACCCAATAAAAATATGGAATAAGGGAAAAGAAAAAGAAGAAAAAAAAATCCAGGCTAGGCAGAAAGATACCAGAGATAACATAACGCCTTTAGTATGATGATGGATGGCGGGTGTACGATATGAATGGCCAGGACAGGATACCACCAGGGATAGGATTGCTTGATTGATTGCTTGATTGGGCTGGGCTGGGCTTTCTGACTGGGATGCTGCAAAGCGCTATTTTGTATTTCGGACGGACGTATGGTTCATGTTCACGTTCACGTTCATGTTGATGTTCATGTTCATCTGGGCTGGCTGCATGGGCCGAGACTGGGACGAAGTGTATGTAATTGGCTTAATGGTAATGGAGGGGAAATGTGATGATTTTGATTATTGTTTTTTGATGTGGTGGTTCCGGAGGAGACCGGGATACTTCTTCATCTTTTTATTCGTGAGCGATGTAGACGTATAGTAAGTAAGTACGGGGTGATGGCTGGGAGCTGCCAACCTGGGCACTTGGCGAAGCTATTCCAAAGAGTGGATAGTTGCCAAAAAGGACAACACATCACGGCAATTCACCGCCATTTGCAGCGACGAGGATGTCGGCAGTGGTTATCGGATTTTAATTAATTATTACGAGGGACAAACCCGAATCTCTTTGGGGTTTAGCTGGGACCACCAGGAAAAGAATTCCCCGTCACTTCTTCCACTGCTTCTACCTTTCTCAACAGCTCCCTCAATAGCTTCCCTTCAAACTCGCCACTATTTTCTGGGCGAGTTTATTTCCTTCCCACCACAGCCGCTATCAAGACTTCTCTTTTCTATTCTGATGAAATTCTGATGATCCCTTCCAAGGCCTTCCAGGAAAGGGGATACTTCGATCGGCTAGTCAGCGATGATATCACTTACTATCACTTACCTTGGCCGATCCCTCCGTCAGCCCCTCCACTTGCCGCCCCACGATGAGGGAATTCGCGCCTCCCTTTCGTCCTCGTCTTCCCCTCTTTCGGACTTTTGGGTGAATCAGTCTCCATCCTGACTCCATTCCCATCGTGGCTGAGACAATTCCCACCGGTTGCCGACCGATCCAGGCCAAGCTTTCCTTAAGCTTTAGCGCCGTGTCCCTGGTCACTGTCTGATGATTCGCCCATCCGATCACACGAGGGAGGGGTCCCAAACCTCAATCCCCACTCCTTCGTCCCTCCGTCACTGGCGATGGGCGTCTCCAGCACTAGTCTGGGATTTAGGACTGTGTCTGAGCTACAGGAAAGGGGCGCCATGAGTGGCTGCCACCTCTCGGGGCTGAGGACAGCAGCCAACGAGTGGCTGTTCCCTCCTCCCGTGTTGTGTGAGCTGACGGATGTTGCGGCAGGCCAGAACAGGGAGCAGGGGGGACAGTTTCAATGAGCTAACTGGATTGACGGCCGTTGGCTGATCGTGGGAGCCTGCTGTTGCGCCCCTCCTTTCTCTTATTTACATCACTGCGCTCCCCCTTTTCCTGTCGCTGTTTTCTAGCATCGCTTTCTTCTCTCTTCTCCCTATCCATCCACATTTACACATCTAATTCGGCACAATGGTCCATCTTGCTCAGGTTAAGCGCGACAGCGATGTCGAGAAGACCGCTGAACGGGTCGACTCCATCCGGCTTGAGGACGATGCCTTCTACTCCAGCGTCTACGGCACTCGTTTCGCTACGGAGCAGCTTCCCTCGACGGAGATGCCGGAGCGGGAGATGCCTCGCGAGGTGGCCTACCGTATGATCAAGGATGAGCTCAGTCTGGATGGAAACCCCATGCTCAAGTAGGTTCGGTCGATAGCAAGACATGACCAAAGGCTAATCCCTTCACAGCCTTGCGAGTTTCGTGACGACCTACATGGTATGTGCTTTGCCCCTAGGGTATCAGGACAATGCTAATTCGAGTAGGAAGAGGAAGTTGAGAAGCTCATGACCGAGTCCTTCAGCAAGAACTTCATCGATTACGAGGAATACCCCCAGTCCGCCGAGATCCAGAACCGCTGTGTGAACATGATTGCCCGTCTGTTCAACGCTCCCACCGACAGTGATGACGAACACCCCATGGGTACCTCTACCATCGGTTCCTCCGAGGCCATCATGCTGGGCACCTTGGCCATGAAGAGACGGTGGCAGAACAAGCGCAAGGCAGAGGGCAAGGATGCCTCCAGGCCCAACATTGTCATGAACAGTGCCGTCCAGGTGTGCTGGGAGAAGGCTGCCCGCTACTTCGACGTTGAGGAGCGCTACGTCTACTGCACGGAGGATCGCTACGTGATTGACCCCAAGCAGGCCGTGGACCTGGTGGACGAGAACACCATTGGTATCTGCGCCATCCTGGGTACCACCTACACCGGTGAGTACGAGGACGTCAAGGCCATTAACGACCTCCTCGTCGAGCGGGGCATTGACTGCCCCATCCACGTCGATGCCGCCAGTGGTGGTTTCGTCGCTCCCTTCGTTGCCCCCAACCTGGAGTGGGACTTCCGTCTGTCCAAGGTGGTGTCCATCAACGTGTCTGGTCACAAGTATGGACTCGTGTACCCCGGTGTTGGTTGGGTCGTCTGGCGCTCGCCCGAATACCTGCCCAAGGAGCTGATTTTCAACATCAACTACCTGGGAGCCGAGCAGGCCAGCTTCACGCTGAACTTCTCCAAGGGCGCGTCGCAGGTCATTGGACAGTACTACCAGATGATTCGACTGGGCAAGCGGGGCTACCGGTCGATCATGACGAACATCACACGCACTGCCGACTACTTAGCCGAGCAGCTGGAGCAGCTGGGCTTTGTGATCATGAGCGAGCGCGGCGGCAAGGGCCTGCCGCTGGTGGCGTTCCGGCTGCCGGCGGACCGCGACTCGGAGCAGTTTGACGAGTTTGCGCTGGCGCACCAGCTGCGTGAGCGCGGGTGGATCGTGCCGGCGTACACGATGGCGCCCAACAGCAACTCGCTGAAGCTGATGCGGGTGGTGGTGCGCGAGGACTTTAGCAAGAACCGGTGCGATGCGCTGCTGGCGGACATTAAGCTGGCCTTGAAGACGCTCAGCGACATGGACAAGGCGATGTTGGAGCGGTACACTCAGTAAGTTTCCTGGATGAGTGAAAAGGAGAGTATTTGCTAACGGAAGTAGTCATGTCCGGGTGCACTCGACCAACTCGCACAAGTCCAAGCATGTGCACCCTCACTACAAGAACGAGACCCATTCCTTGCAGGGCAAGCATGGCAAGACCCACGGTGTGTGTTAGAGTAGACTCTGTTAGATGACAGTGGATCTCGGTGGACATGGACTGTATATGAGAGGCATGGACATAACACGGATAATGATGCTAGACATCTCCGATACATGAATGCGAATGAAATAAGACATTCACAGTGTTGACGGTGGATCTCCCATGCTACTTAGCACTTACTAGTAAAGGTGAAACGCGGAGGCGAGGCTTTGGACTGCAGCTAAAAGGCGACCGTCAGCACCAGCCTTGTACTATCAAGTAGTTGTTTGGCCTTGAGCCCAATGGCTGTGCAATTTAGCCCGCCTTGGGGCCGCCCGGACCCAATGGCTCACTTTCTTTATTGAATCCCATCTCATCCTGCATTGGACTATCTCTCTCTCTCTCCCCTCTTCCTCTTCCTCTTCCTTTTCTTCCTTCTTTTCTCTCCGTCTTACTTTTTTTTTTTTTTTTGTCCCGCTTCCTCTCTCTTCCCCCTTCCCTCTCTCCCATAAATCCTCTCTCCCTCACCCTTCTCCATGCCCCTCTTTCGCCGTAAGCACAAGCCGTCTGCTGCCGCGTCTGCATTCCGATCTGTCGAGCATCTGCCCGCTGCCCCTGGCGTCTACCCCGACGACGATCTCGACCGTCGTTTCTCCGTCTCCACCTCCCGCGAGCGACTCCCTCCATTGCCTGTCACTTCATCCTCCACCAACAACACCAACACCACCACCTCCCCGCCTTCTTCCACTGCTGTCAACACCACCAACACCATCGCTTCTACTTCCACCTCCACCACGCCCGGTGCCTCTCCGCAACTCTATCAACACGATAATAATACCCAGGAATTTTCCACCCATCCCCTGCGTCGTTCCAAAAGCCAGCGTCATACCAGCCCGCGAGGCAACAACAGTAACGACAACACTCCGGTACGGCCAGCGTCCCCTGCACCCATCCTCGATGCTGACCCTCTCAATCAGTCGTGGCCGCTGCCACCCGAGCCACTACAACCTGTCGAGCCAGAACCTCGCAAATCCCGTCGCAGTCTCTTCTCGCTTCACTCGTCTGCAGCCGCGCGCGACCAGTCCGGAATTCTGCAGCGCAGCCGGTCGGTCAAGAAAATCTCCACGGGTCGATCCTCCAAACAACAGCGACCGTTGTCCATAGACACCACGTCCGAACGCCGCCCGGGAACCTCTTGGTCGAGAGAGCATGAATTAGACGCCCCGTGGCCCAAGGTTCCTCAAGCCCGTCGACCCCAACAACCGCCGCAACAACAACCGCAGCAGCAGCAGCAGCAGCAGCAGCAACCGCCGGCGTCAATTCAGGGTCAGGCACCTCAGCCCCAGCCCCAATCACAAACTCCGACGCCGTCCCATACTCCTGCAGAATCTCCGGTTCAGCCTCCGCGGAACCACCCTCAAGCACAACAGCAGCCAGCGAGTCGATCACCCATGCCGCAGAACACAGGTCCGACGCCGACGCTCGACACCCGACCTCCTCGTTCACCGCATCCTTCCGTCCAGCGCTCCAATACCGACAGCGGCCTGCTGGAACATCTGACTCGCCCGTCACCGGTGGAGCCGTCCCGACAGCCCGCTGACTTGGCCCCAACACCGCCCCAACTGGACCCCACGGTCGGCCCTCGACCTTCTTCCCGCCAATCCCTTGGGCCCCCTTCACCATTACGCCCACTCCCCGTTCATCCAGACACGGTTGCCAGTGGCATGCCCGACCGTCCATCCGCGCCCCCAGGACAGTCTCCTGTCCCTGGGCATTCCCCTTATCCGGAAGCTGGCTTCCGGAACAATACCGCGTCGACCCCAGAGCAGGGCCGGAACACGCCGAGTTCGCGTGATAGCCGACGTGATCGTGAGGATGCTGAGATAGATGTGCGGGCTTTAGTCCAGAAGCATGATGAGCTTCGTAAGTAGCTGTTGCCACCGCTCCGGAGGAACCATCGCTAATCAAATGCAGAGGCCAAATACTCCAAAGTTAAGCGTTACTATTTCGAAAAGGAAGCGCAGGTACAGCACCTTCAGAATACCGTAGCACACCAACGTATGGCCGTGTCCCGCACCGTGCTGGACGACAACGAGTATGCCAATCGGTTCGGTCGACTGGACGGTGCGATTAAAGATCTAGCCTTTTCCATCCGCAAGGACTGGGCGACACTGCCCTCCTGGCTGAACGGGTTCGTCAATGACGACGCACACACCACGGGCACCAAAGAGATGACCGCGATCGGCCGGGCGGTGGTGAGCCGGTGGTTAGTTGAGGAACTGTTCGAGCGCTACTTCCACCCAGCCTTGGAGCCCACCTTCAGCCGACAGCTGAAAAGCATCGAGATGAACCTGCGACGACAGCAAGCGCAGCCGTCTACAGAAGAAGACAAGGAGAACGCGATCGCGCGCATCTCCAACTGGCGGCGCACCACACTGGACGGACTCACGAACCTGCAGGGTCCGCAGGCGGACGAGTACCGGGCCCAGCTCATCGACCGACTGATCAACAGCCTGGTAGCGACGCTGGTAGCACACTTGCACGACCCGCCGCCCCCGGGGCTGGACAACGGGGCGCGCATGATCGTGGAGAACGCCGTGGGCATTGCCGAGAAGATCCCACTGGAGTCGCGCGACATTTGCGTCGAGTACATCCTCCCAGGCACAGTCGTCCAGGAGGGTACCATGAAGGTCGAGACGGGGCTGCCGCCACTGACCCATGTGCGGACCGAGTCTGGTGGCTCCGCCGAGCAGGAGCGGGCAGAGGGCCCAGACGAGACAGAGGGAGGCGACCCTGGCCCGCCGCAGCGGGAGCAGCGCATGCGGTCGGTGTTCAGCTCGTTGATGGGACGGCGTCCAGGACCGTCCGCACCAACCGGGGAGACTCGAGAGGAGCGCGAGCGCGGACCGGGACGTATCCGATTTGCATCATTTGTGACGGCAGAAGTGAGAGGAAAAGGACCGATGAATGTACTGGTGAAGGCGCCTGTATATGTAGAGTGATGTCCCTGCTACATACACAAGTTACGATAGAGAATATCAAGGAATGATATGATATGATATGATATGATATGATGACATGATGCATTATTAGTAGTAGTACATTATCCAACCCATCCATCCAATCCCATCCATCCAATCCCATCCATTCCACACCAATATTAATCTATTCTATGCCAGCATATACAGCATACATACCCACAGCGAAAGAACAATCAAACAAGCTAATGCACGCAAGCATGCACACACAGCACACCACACACCACCATCTGTGTCCAGCACATCCATGATCTCACATAATACACCAGGTACTACAGTAGTATCCTACTACTCCTCATTAACAAAGTTATAAACACCCAAACCACCACCTCCTCTTCCTCTCCACCTCATCACCTTCATCCTTCGGAATCGACTCCAAATAAACAACCACCCCCAACACCTCCAACAGAAACCTCTCCCGATACGCCACAGCCCGGACTACATTCCCGTCCAAATACTCGTTCATTTTCCGGAGGAGAATGTCGGTATCGTGTCGGGCTAGGGTGAGGAAGTCGTCGGCTGTGAGGGAGAGTTCCACTGATTCTTCTTCCCCTTCTTTTTCTTCATTAACGTTATTGTTTTCCTCGTTTGGTTTTTCGTTGTTGTTATTGTTGTTGGTGTTATTCTTCCCTCCGGGGGAAGTAGTGGATGATGATGATGTTATAGACTCAAGATCAAGTAAATCCTCCACGCCCCTTTCTAGCGATTTATCATGATCAATCCAGACGCAGAAGCCCTCGAACATGCCGTTACGGGTGAGGAAGGACATGACGGATGAGGGGTTTGTGCGGTTGAGAATGTGGCGGGGGAGTTGTATCCCACTATCTTTGGTGGATGATGCAAGCATGCGGTGGAGATGTGTTGCGCTGCTGAGGTCGAGGAGGAGGTCGGTTTTTTCGTTTCCGATTCCTCCACTTCCATTTCCACCTCCATTTGCATTGGTAGTGGTAGTAGGTGTAGCTGTACCACCACCACCACCACCGCGTCCCCCCGTAGTAGATAACAACGAAGCAGACGTAGTACTCGACGACAACAACGGTCGATCATACCCCACCCTAACCCTCCAAAACCAATTACACGCGATGAGACTCACAATACACGGCACCAACACGACATACCCGTACCACATCGTGGCGGTAACCATGCTCGCCGCGCCGGCCACAAGGCCGTTAATCCCGTTCACGAGGGCATGGAATTGCAGACTGCGGAAGCGGAGTTTCAGTGGGTGGTGGTACATTCGCACTTCTTCGATGCAAGTGTCTTCTTCGTCTCCCGGGTGAGGATTATTATTACCATTACCGTCCCTTGTTGGCATTGTCGCTGTGGATGTGGATGTGCTGGTAATGTTCTGGCAACTTCTCCAACAAACCTGAAACCTGCCCACCAAATACCCCGACCAAATGGCATTAACGAGCCCAAACACCGCGGCTAACCCATTGCCGATGTATCCACTGAGCAGGTTGCTGGCGACGTAGACGTGATGATTCGCGCCAAAGATCGCCATGATGGTTCCTGTGCCGACGAGAAGCGCGCCGAATCCCATTAGCGCGTCCATGAGGATCCGGTCGACGATTTCGGTGCCGAGTTCGCGGAAGTTGACGCTGAGTCTGCTTCTTAGTAATAGCTCTGCTTGTGTGTGAGTGGTTGTGGTTGGATTTTGTGTTGTTGTGTTTGTTGTTGTTGTGGTGGTGGTGGTGGTAATAGAGTCGAGTAACTCGCGCAGATACCGCCGCTCTTTCAGGAGTAACTGCACGTTCGTGTAGCTGAGGTAGAAGTCCCGAGCTGCTACTATAGTTATGAGGAGGGCGATTGGTCCACCAATGGCCATGAAGACCATCGCGTATTTCGGGACGGGGATCTGGTTCCACACGTTGGCGGCGAAGTCTGCTGCGTTGGCGAGTTCGAGGAAGCCGACGCCGGCGAGGAGGGAGTTGCGGAAGAGAGGTTGGTGAGATAATTGGAAGTTGTAGTTATGTTTTCGTCTTGATTTTTGTTTTTGTCGTGGGGTGCATTTGCGGAAGGGATTGAGGAGGGTGGTGAGCTTGGTGGATGGTTTTCGGTGGGCGCGGGTGTAGGTTACATTATTTGTCGGAATGATGGTGGTGGTAGACGTGGTTGTGCTGGGTGTTGAGGCGGAGGTGATGGTGAGGTCGCTCGACTCGCGGAGGAGCTTGGGGATGGGAGGAGATGACATGGTGGTGGTGAGGTGGGAA